AGATGTGATAGGAAACAGGAAGGCTACAAATCATAGAATCTTAGAGTTGGAAGAGACCTCATGGGCCATCCAGTCCAACCCCCTGCCAAGAAGCAAGAATATTGCATTCAAAGCACTCCCGACAGATGGCCATCCAGCCTCTGTTTAAAAACTTCCAAAAAAGGAGCCTCTACTACACTCCGGGGCAGAGAGTTCCACTGCTGAACAGTTCTCACAGTGGATACAGCCATGGTCAGCAGTTTTGTAGCGATGGAGAACTTAGACGTGGTTTCACCAGGCCCTTCCTCTGAAATAGAGCCTATAGCATCTTAATATTTGTTAGTGGCCTCTCATCCAAGTTCTAACCAGGATCAACCCTGCTTAGCTTCCAAGATCAGACAGAATCTAATGTCTTGGGGGTATTTAGACCTTTGGTAGCATTGAGCCACATGGGGAGAGGTGAGTAAGATATAAAATTATTGTTGTTGTTGTTGTTGTTATTGCTTAATAGATGTGATAGGAAACAGGTAGGCTACAAATCATAGAATCCTAGAGTTGGAAGAGACCTCATGGGCCATCCAGTCCAACCCCCTGCCAAGAAGCAGGAAAATTGCATTCAAAGCACACCCAACAGATGGCCATCCAGCCTCTGTTTAAAAGCTTCCAAAGAAGGAGCCTCCACCACACTCTGGGGCAGAGAGTTCCACTGCTGAAAAGCTCTCACAGTCAGAAAGTTCTTCCTAATGTTCAGATGGAATCTCCTTTCTTGTAGTTTGAAGCCATTGTTCTACGTCCTAGTCTCCAGGGCAGGAGAAAACAAGCTTGCTCCCTCCTCCCTAGGACTTTCTCTCCCATATTTATAAATAATAATAATAATAATAATAATAATAATAATAAACTTTATTTATACCCCGCCACCATCTCCCCAAGGGACTCAGAGCAGCTTACATGAGGCCAAGCCCAACAACACATCAATAAAACATGAAAGCAATAAACAAAACAATACAATGCAATACAAATTAATATAAATCACATATAACAATAACACACAAGGATTTCAAAACCTATGGCTATCATGTCTCTCCTCAGTCTTTTCTTCAAGCTAAACATGCCCAGCTCTTTAAGCCACTCCTCATAGGGCTTGTTCTCCAGACCCTTGATCATTTTAGTCGCCCTCCTCTGGATACGTTTCAGCTTGTCAATATCTTTCTTTTCGCTCAATATATCTCTAAATCCCATCAGGTTTAACCAGGTTTAATGGGAGTTGCAATCAGGCATTATTTGCCCACTTCCAACCCCATTATTTGGTCGCAATTTTTGGGACCGATTGACCATTCTGCTAATATTATACTCATTTTGGGGGAAAGAAACCATTGTACTATTATTGAATCAATTGTATGTGAGTTCCAATCTGCAAAAATAACTGTGTTTGATAACTAGTTTGCCCAATTAATGTCTAGAATTTTAAACTTTGGAATGTTCAATGTTGACTTTCAGCTTGTGCAAGTTAAATGTCCATTTTCGGGCAGAAATAAATAGGGGAAAATGGTCAGTTTCTTGCTTGAGCTCCAAATTGGATGGAGTCTGTGACTCGAAGCAATGAGCAAAGTCTGCCACCTACTGGACAGAGTACGACTTGCAGAAGATACTTAGAATGCAAAAATCCTCTGGTCATTCTTAACAGCTCAAATACTCTTAATGCTTTGTTGAAGGCTTTCATGGCCAGAATCACTGGGTTGCTGTGAGTTTTCCAGGCTGTATGGCCATGTTCCAGAAGCATTCTTTCCTGACCTTTCGCCCACATCTATGGCAGGCATCCTCAGAGGTTGTGAGGTGTGTTGGAAACTAGGCAAGTGGGGGTTATATATGTGGAATAATATGCAGGGTGGGAGAAAGAACTCTTCTCTGTTGGAGGCAAGTGTGAATGTTGCAGTTGGCCAGCTTGATTAGCATTGAATCAGGGCAGTAAATAAAGAACAAGAACTCAGAAAACAGGGGAAATTATTTATTTATTTATTTATTTACTTCATTTATATACCGTTTTTCTCAGCCCTCAGGCGACTCAAAGCAGTTAACAACAGCAAAATCCAGTGCAAAACATCACAAAACGATTATGGGACAGTTAAAACAATAGCATCATTAACAATAAACATTAATATAACAGCCCTAAACGGTTCCGGCCCCACTTACCTCTCCGAACGCATCTCCGCCTATGAACCGGCGAGGATGTTAAGATCGTCCGGGGAGGCCCTGCTCTCGGTCCCGCCAGCATCACAAGTGCGGCTGGCGGGGACGAGAGACAGGGCCTTCTCGGTGGTGGCCCCTCGGCTATGGAATGCCCTACCAACGGAGATCAGACAGGCCCCGTCGCTACTGGCGTTTAGGAGGCGGGTGAAGACGTGGCTCTTCGAACAGGCGTTCGGATAAGCAGGCAATTAACATCTGACTCAGAAAGACGGCATACTGAACAAGGAATGGTAAAATGACTGCGAGATTGGATCTGATTCTATTTGAGGCGTGATGACGTTATGTGTATTGTTTGTGAATGTCTGTCACATGCATTGTTTAATGTTGCACTTTTACTGTAAACCGCTTAGAGTCGCCTTTCTGGCTGATATAGGCGGTATACAAAAGGAGTAAATAAATAAATAAATAAATTAGCGTCTCATCAGTAAAATCAGAATCCAATCTCATCATCCATTAATCCATGTTCCTATATTCATTACACTGCTTAATCGAATGCTTGTTCGAACAGCCAGGTCTTCACTTTCCTCCGAAACGCCAATAGGGATGGGACCGATCTGATATCTATAGGAAGGGCGTTCCACAGCCGAGGGGCCACGACTGAGAAGGCCCTGTCTCTCGTCCCCGCCAAATGTGTCTGTGATGGTAACAGGACCGAGAGCCAGGCCTCGCCAGAAGATCTTAGTTTTTACAATGGTTCATAAAGGGAGATGCGTTGGGACAGGTAAACTGGGCCGGGGCCATTTAGGGCTTTATAGGCCAAATCCAGCACTTTAAAGTGTACCTGGCAGCAAACTGGCAGCCAGTGGAGCTGGCACAACAGAGGAGTTGTATGCTCCCTGAGTGCCGCTCCTGTTAGTAACCTGGCTGCCGAGCATTGGACCATTTGAAGCTTCCGAGCAGTCTTCAAAGGCAATCCTACGTAGAGAGCGTTGCAGTAGTCTATACAGGATGTAACCAGAGCTTGGACTACCGTGGCCAAGTCAGACTTCCCAAGGTGCGGGCGCAGTTGGCGCACAAGTTTTAACTGCGAATGCTCTCCTGGTCACCGCTGAAATCTGAAAATAGACCTTGACATATGCGAGTTGTAGTTACTGGTATAGTTCACCTACAATCAAAGAGCATTCCGAACTCCACCAATGATAGAATTGAACCAAATATGGCACACAGAACTCCCATGATGAACAGAAAATATATCAGTGATTGTTTGGGGGGGGGGCGCCAAAATACTGTTTGCTTACCATTGAAAATTACCTAGGGCTGCCTCTGCATGTGAGCGGGGAGAAGAGCAGAGGGGTCACCAAAGACCATCAGAACCATCTGTTGGTCATGGGGGTTCTGTGTGGGAAGTTTGGCCCAATTCTATCGTTGGTGGGGTTCAGAATGCTCTTTGATTGTAGGTTGAACTATAAATCCCAGCAACTACAACTCCCAAATGTCAAGATTCTATTTTCCCCAAACTCCACCAGGGTTCACATTTTGGCATATTGAGTATCTGTGCTAAGTTTGGTCCAGATCCAACAGTGTTTAAGTCCACAGTGCTCTCTGGATGTAGGTGAACTACAACTCCAAAACTCAAGGTCAATGCCCACCAAACCCTTCCAGTATTTTCTGTTGGTCATGGGAGTTCTGTGTGCCAAGTTTGGTTCAATTCCATCATTGGTGGAGTTCTGAATGCTCTTTGATTGTAGGTGAACTATAAATCCCAGCAACTACACTCCCAAATGACAAAATCATAATCTCCCCACCACCAGTATTCAAATTGGGCATATTGGGTATTTGTGCCAAATTTGGTCCAGTGAATGAAAATACATCCTGCATATCAGATATTTACATTACGATTCATAACAGTAGCAAAATTACAGTTATGAAGTAGCAACAAAAATAATGTTATGGTTGGGGGTCACCACAACATGAGGAACTGTATTCAGGGGTTGCGGCATTATGAAGGTTGAGAAACACTGTGCTAGGGAATTACCACATGTGGAAGATCCCTCCCTCGAAACCAAGCTTCCGAGCTTCCGAGCAGTCTTCAAAGGCAATCCTACGTAGAGAGCGTTGCAGTAGTCTATACAGGATGTAACCAGAGCTTGGACTACCGTGAGCTTGGACTATGATTCTTCTTTTTCATTACATTTCCAGCAAGTGGTACTCTTCTTGCTATAACATTTTCCAAGCTTCTTCGGGGTCATATACCACTTGTGTGACATCTTTATCCAATTCTCTTTTAAGTCGCTTGCGTATATGTATTTTATTTTTTTTCTTTCATATTTTTCCTTCCATAAAAGATGCTTCTCATTCCAGGTGAATTGATGCACTTGAGCATATTCATAATCTATGGCATGCTGAATGCCTCTTAAAATGTATTCCATAATTATGTGCTGTGCACAAAGTTGTTGGCATTTCTATAACATCATTTGGTATATTTATTTGTGTATCCATGGCCTTTGTGGCCTCTTCCAAGGATAAGATTCTAAGTAAGGAAGAAATTTAGCAAATTTTCCTTTTGTTTTTCTTCTTCCAAAGCTATTCATAGGGGGAAAAAAGTTGTGCTTGTTCAATAAACTCATCAGTTGCAGCTTATGGGATCCACTAAAATACCGTTTGGTAAGATTAAAGTCACATTATGCTTCTTAGTGCTACACAGATATGAAGACAATTGATTCTTGCAAGATATGATGGAGACTGTCCTTGGAAAAACTTTTGTGGGAAAAGTTCTTTGCATTTGTGCAGTGCAAAAAAAATCTAAATGTTTTGTTTTTTCCCCTCCTGCTTAGGCTTGCCATGGATGCTCCTCTGGATCCAAATGTGACTGTAGTGGACAAAAAGGAGAGAAGGTGAGTAAAGGAGCAGGAAATTACAAAATGTGCTGGTTGGCAAACAAGAGCAGGTAAAGCGAAATTCCAAGGCAACCATTTGCGTAAGGTTTTGTGAGTTGGCTTTGCAGTTTCCAAACTCACCCAAGTTTTGTGAGTTGGCTTTGCAATTTCCAAATTGGAAAGTGTTATTTTGTTTTGTTTCCAGGCTTTTTTTCACTTACTGTTAAAGTCTCGGTGGCAATGTGTGTGAATATGATCTGCTTTTGCCTGTTGGGATGGAGGGACTATCCGAGAAGGGCCCCACCTTCCCCTCCAGGTGCCTGAGAGGGAATGAAATCATCCCTTGGCAACGGCAACAGCCAAGGAATCATTGCACACATGTGTGCGCCTAAGGCTGAAGGCTTCACCTCCTTGGCACGGGCGAAAGGGGAAACGAGGCCATGGATGTGTCTGAATATGAACCTCTGTTGTCATTGTGGATTGGGTTGTTGTAGGTTTTTTTGGGCTATATGGCCATGTTCTAGAGGCATTTCTCCTGACGTTTCGCCTGCATCTATGGCAAGCATCCTCAGAGGTAGTGAGGTCTGTTGGAACTAGGAAAATGGGTTTATATATCTGTGGAATGACCAGGGTGGGACAAAGGACTCTTGTCTGCTGGAGCCAGGTGTGAATGTTTCAACTGATACCTTGATTAGCATTTGATTGCCTGGCAGTGCCTGGAGCAATCCTTTGTTGAGAGGTGATTAGATGTCCTTGTTTGTTTCCTCTCTGTTGTTGTGCTGTTGTAATTTTAGAGTTTTTTAAATACTGGTAGCCAGATTTTGTTCATTTTCATGGTTTCCTCCTTTCTGTTGAAATTGTCCACATGCTTGTGGATTTCAATGGCTTCTCTGTGTAGTCTGACATGGTGGTTGTTGGAGTGGTCCAACATTTCTGTGTTCTCAAATAATATGTTGTGTCCAGGTTGGTTCATCAGGTGCTCTGCTATGGCTGACTTCTCTGGTTGAAGTATGACTGACTGGTTGAAGAGTGTGGATTATTCTTTAAAACAAGATCAATGTATAGTTTGGAGAGAAGGGCTGGGACGTCTCTCTCCCTTGCATCATAGTACAACTCCTTGACAATCTCTCCTATTATGAACCTGCCCAGTTTTTGTGATGCAAAGGAAGGGTCCTTTGCTCAGTTCTGCCACTTTTGCAGGTATACCACATATCAGGCATGGCAAACTTGGGTTCTCCAGATGTTTTGGACTTCAACTCCCACAATTCCTAACAGCCTCAGGCCCTTCAGCCGCTAAACCAAACCCCTTTTGCTTGATCCAGTGACTTGCTCTTAAGGAGGATTTGGGGCTACTGCCATTTGAGGTTGGGTGCAAGTACATAGCATTAGTGCAGGCCCGTAGCCAGGATTTGGGTGGGGGGGGGGGGGGGGCTGAGTCTGAGTGAAAGAGGGTCTAGCCTAGCAAACCTTTTGTATCATTACCCCAATACCCCCATGCATATGGGATATATTGAGTATGGTGATCAGATCATGATAGGAATAAACATAACAGTTTAAATAATGCACCAGTAAGGCCTTTTCGCGAACACCACTTGGAGTGCCTCTGGTGTTGCCGCAAGAAGGTCTTTCATTGTGCATGTGGCAGGGCTCAGGTTGCATTGCAGCAGGTGGTCTGTGGTTTGCTCTTCTCCACACTCGCATGTCGTGGATTCCACTTTGTAGCCCCATTTCTGAAGGTTGGCTCTGCATCTTGTGGTACCAGAGCACAGTCTGTTCAGCGCCTTCCAAGTTGTCCAGTTTTCTGTAAGCCCAGGGGGAGTCTCTCATTTGGTATCAGCCATTGATTGAGGTTCTGGGTTTGAGCCTGCCACTTCTGGACTCTCGCTTGCTGGGGTGTTCCAGTGAGTGTCTCTGTAGATCTTAGAAAACTATTTCTTGATTTAAGTTGTTGACGTGCTGGCTGATACTCAAACAAGGAATGGGCTGGAGATGTCACTGCCTTGGTCCATTCACTATTGGTTGCTACTTCCTGGTGGATGTCACGTGGTGCAATACTGGCTAAACAGTGTAATTTCTCCAGTGGTGTAAGGCGCAGACACCCTGTGATAATACGGCATGTCTCATTAAGAGCCACTTCTACTGTTTTAGCGTGGTGAGATGTGTTCCACACTGGGCATGCATACTCAGTGCAGAGTAGCATAGCGCAAGGGCAGATGTCTTCACTGTGTCTGGTTGTGATCCCCAGGTTGTGCCAGTCAGCTTTCATATGATATTGTTTCTAGCGCCCACTTCCTGACTGTAAGAGCTATTCAACAGTGGAAGTCTCTGCTGCAGAATTCTGTGGAGGCTCCTTGTTTGGAGGCTTTTAAGTATAGGCTTGATGGCCATTTGTCGGGGGTGCTTTGATTGTGCTTTTCCTGCCTGGCCGAAGGAGGTTGTACTGGATGAGCCCTTGTGGTCTCCTCCAACTCTAGCATTCTATGTTATGAATCTGGAATGACAATACTGACTACTATTGGTAGCAGTGATATTCTTTTTGTTCAACAATATCTAGAAATCCCAGGTTTAATGCTAAGTTGGCATTTAACACTCTGTTGACGTTTGACAGCAAAAGGCTTACTCCTTCCTAAGGGTTTTTACGTGCAATACCAGTCTTTTTTCATGTGCCTTTGGGGCCCGAATTGTCACACTTTGGCATCAATTGCCAAATACACAAGATGGAATCTGTGCCAGACACTCTTCCGTGGCTTCCTTGGGATCAAAAGCATGTACGTCTTTTCTTCTCTAATCCCTTTGCAAATGATCAGTGCTTGCGGATGGAAAACATCTGTCTCTCCAGGGCTGCTGCCTGCTACGTGAGGCTGAACCTGGTCTGGGTGAACTTAGTCCTCCAAAAGAACATGCCAAGGGGGTTCAGCCTGGTTCCCACCCACCTCTTTTATTTCCCAATATGATAAATCTTTCAAGACAGGTTTAAGGCAGGAGGGCTGGTCTACTTTCCTTGCATGAAGGAAAACATTGCTTTGCATGATGGATCTGAGCAGCAAGGGTGCAGCCAATAATAATGTGCATTTAATAGGAAGGAAATGTTTGCTATGCATTGCAGCTATAAATTCAAAGCATACTTACTTACTTACTTAAGCGATCCCTCATTGTCCGAGTAGGATTGTCGACCAAGACAGTGGGTCTGTAGGTGACTGTGGAGCCCTATTCTTGACCTGCATGTTCTCCCGCAGTGAGGGCATTGGTTTCCAGGTGGAAGGAGTCTGCTATCCATGGACACCTTGCCCTCATGTCTTCAGGGACGCCTTTTACCTCCCTGCTTACATGTTTACAACTATTCCAGTAATATAATTTTCAAATATACGTTTTGAATTTTCTTGACTATTATTACATTTAAAGAATACACATAAATTGGTAAACAGTGTTCAAAACATTGGGCACTTTTTAAAACGCCAACCCGCTCCATGAGTGACTTCTCTTTAATGGTTGCAGGGCGAGAGAGGATTCCCGGGTTTGGAAGGACAACCAGGTTTACCAGGATTTCCCGGACCAGAAGGACCACATGGGCCAAGAGGCGAAAAAGTGAGTAGCACAACGCAGTGGCATTGGACACTAGAGGCCACTGTCATATTTGATGAGATATCAGTTGTTCAGTCGTTGAGATGAACCTTCTCAGGTAAAGGAACGAAGACCTGTGAGCATGCAGGCCCAGTTCTGTACTTGTTACCGGGATCAGTTGGCGTTGTTGCCTTCATGTTGGAAACAATAACGTCCAGCAGTGGTGGCTCCATGAGTCTAGACTACATGTCTGTTCATCAGTAATCTTTGAGGCATATGGGACACCCTGAAAGAGGTTTTTCTATGCTAAACCCCTTCACATGTTCACCTGGAGTGAGCATAGCATCCATTTGAGAATTAGCTTGGTGGAAAAGTAGATGGAGGAGGCAAAAAGAATGGTCTACTCCAAGGCAGCATTCTTGCACCAACCTTTGCTAATGATTAGCCACAATCACTACTCACAAAGAGCTTTATATACACAGTGGTTCTCAACCTGTGGGTTCCCAGGTGTTTTGGCTACAACTCCCAGAAATCCCAACCAGTTTACCAGCTGTTAGGATTTCTGGGAGTTGAAGGCCAAAACATCTGGGGACCCACAGGTTAAGAACCACTGGCCTAACAACACAAGCAAAAGACTTTGAAATAGTTGAAAACCAACTTACAAATGAAAGATCTCTGCAGCTACTACAAAGATAACCATTTGAAGCCTAACCCTGCCAAGACACAAGTGTGTGCTTTCCACCTACGTAATTGTGAAGCCAACAGGAAACTGAAGGTTACCTGGGAAAGCCAAGAGCTCAAACACTTCTCCCATCCTAAATATCTCAGCGTCACCTTAGGCCAGTGGTTCTCAACCTGGGGTCCCCAGATGTTTTTGGCCTTCAACTCCCAGAAATCCCAACAGCTGGTAATCTGGCAGGAATTTCTAGGAGTTGTAGGCCAAAAACATCTGGGGACCCCAGGTTGACAACCACTGCCTTAGACCAAATGCTAACTTTTAGGATCACTGTGCAAACACCAAACACAAAGTAGCTGCACGCAACAACATCCTGTGGAAACTTACTAATAACGCATGGGGTGCAGACCCAGAATTAATAAGAACACCAACCCTGGCCTTGTCTTACTCAACTGCTAAGTTTGTCTGTCCTGTTTGGCATAAATTAGGTGAAGCAGGTGAATATAGCACTAATGAGACATGTGGAATAATCGCAGGATGTCTCAAGCCTACACCTGTTTATAAACTATAAGTTAGCTGGCATTGTCCCCCCTTATGTGCAATGGGAAGTTGCTGCTCACTGTGAGCTTGAACACTGTGAAAGTCACCCACTATATGGCTGTCAGCCTCCTCCCAGTAGACTCAAATCAAGGAAAAGGTTCATAAGAACCAACACTTCTCTTAATGTTCCTCCAGCAACAGCAAGAGTATCTCTTTGGCCAGCAAAATCAGGCAATCCCAGCTGGTTGGCCCACACGAGGGTCTTCCTCCAGTGGTAAAACCAAGAATGGGCAACTTGGAAGTCCCTGAAGAGGCTCAGAAGTGGAGTGGGCAGATTAAAGATAACCTGGCAGAAATGGCACTACCGAGAAGAACCCTCCACCTTGTGTGACTGTGAAGCAGAACAAACAACTCTGCTTCTGTGTGCTTGCCCACAATGCCCTGCCTCATGCACAGATGAAGAATTGTTGAAAGATACAGACAATGCAGTCACTGTTGCCCTTTTGGGTCTAAAACTAGCACCCTGCTATCCCTTTATTTTATCAGTTTTTATTTTATGCAATGCTTTTGAAACGAAATAAATAAAGCTTGATAGACATTGATGTTTTCATCCATGAAATTTTAAAATGCATAATAATTTTATAGAACAAATATATCTTCTCGGTAGTGCCATTTCTGCCAGGTTATCTTTAATCTTTTGGACTTCCTGAAATTCATTTTGTTGTGATTTGCCTTTTCATTAATATTGAATTATATCATCCATCACGTTTTCCTCTAACCCTTCATTCACTGCTGGAATGTCTTTTTATAGGGAGATGATGGACTTCCAGGACCATCTGGACCCAAAGGAATTAGAGTAAGTGTCATTCGTATTTTCTGGAATATGACTATTGGAAGGTGGGGGAAACCAAAGAAAGTGGCATTTCTTCTCATAATATAAAATGTCACCTGTTTTTACCTGACTGTGAATGTTGCAATTTCATACCTGCAGGGCCCTCCAGGTTTACCGGGCTTTCCAGGAACACCGGGGCTTCCTGTAAGTAGAGGCTTCATTGCTGTTGTAATTTCAGAATAGCCCTTCCTTTCATTCTTTTTACTTATGGACTTTTTGGGGGAATTGTTTGTCTGGATGCAACTTTGCTGCTACTTTGTTTACCTCTCAGGGGCTTCCAGGTCAAGATGGACCACCAGGACCTTCCGGTATCCCAGGATGCAACGGGACAAAGGTGGGTCTCCTCTGTGTGCAGATCTGTAGCTTCTTTGCATTATTATTTGTTGTTGTTGTTTTATCCGTTTAGTCACTTCCAACTCTTTGTGACCTCATGGACAAGTCCATGTCAAAGCTCCCTGTGGGCTGTGGCCACCCCCATCTCCTTCAAGGTCAAGCCAGTCACTTCAAGGATACCATCCATCCATCTTGCCCTTGGTCGGCCCCTCTTCCTTTTACCTTCCCTTTCCATTTTCTCCAGCATCATTATCTTCTCTAAACTTCTTATGATGCGGCCAAAGGACTTCACCTTTGCCTCTAATATCCTTCCCTCCAATGAGCAGTCAGGCTTTATTTCCTGGAGGATGGACTGCTTGGATCTTCTTGCTGTCCAAGGCGCTTTCAGAATTTTCTTCCAACACCACAGTTCAAAAGTGTCTATTTTCCTTTGCGCAGCCTTCCTTATGGTCCAGCTCTCGCATCCATAGATTGCTGTTACTATTATTATTATGATATGATCTGAAGTTTATTATTATTATCATCATTATTGTTATATTGCCTTTCTCCCCATGGGGACATGGTGGCTAACAAACACAGTCTAATGACAGGGTTGTTGTAGGTTTTTCAGGCTATATGGCCATGTTCTAGAAGCATTCTCTCCTGACGTTTCACCTGCATCTATGGCAAATGAAATGTCAGGAGAGAATGCTTCTAGAACATGGCCATATAGCCCGAGAAACCTACAACAACCCAGTGGTTCTAGCCATGGAAGCCTTCAGCAGTCTAATGACAGTTTAAAACTCTAGCATGAAACTGGATCACTTTAGTCATAAGACGTGAGGTTCATCTACATCAGTGTTTCTCAACCTGGGGGTCGGGAGCCCTCAAGGGGTTGTTAGAAAATCCAAAGTTTTGTAAGTTGGAAGCCATATTCACAGCGTTTGCGTGGCCTACACCAAATATTTTAGAATTGAAACTTACCCCATACTTTTTCATTTTAGTTTTGTAAATCTTGGAAGGCTCCCAAAGTCAGTTTCATATTCACTGTAATGCAAGGAAGCAAAGCCAAAGATTGCCTTAGTGCCTCGCCATTCCTATCTGAAATTAATGCAGTCTCTGCATTAGCAGCGGGCAAAAAGGGGAGCATTGCATTTTGGGAACAGCATAGAACACTGGGAAATGTAGTTTGGGAAGGGAGGGGTCCTATGTCACATTATTCAAAAGGCCCTGCCCTAAACTACATTTCCCAGACCTCATCAGCACCAGAAAGCACCAATCAGTACTTTAAACTACTTTCAAAGTAAAGACCACACAATTAAACAGGAAATAACACTTTCAAAGTAGGAATATATTTTCAAAGTAGGAACACATTTACCACTGTTAGCCCACTACATTTCAAAACGTTTCACTTATCCACTGATTTTTGGCAATTTTTCAGTTTTTATTTAAAAACATTTTTAATAATAATATTTAAAATGTTTTTTTATAAAAACTTTTAACATTTGCCAAAAAACAGTGAATATGTGAAAATGTCGTGGGCTAGCAGTGGTAAATGTGCTCTACGATTGTAGAAAGTTTCACTTCAATCGCTTTAAAAATGAAGGCGATAGGAACCCCTGAACTTTCCCCAATTATAGTCATTTAATTATGCGCAATTACTATAATGAAATTTCATTACTTTAGTTATAGTAACAAAATTTTCACAAAGTGTACTTTAGAAACACTTTCAAAACCAAAGCCTTAAGGTTTTTAAATTTTGTGTGTTGCTGTTTATATGTGAATTATATTAATAGTATTGTTTTATTTGCTTACTGCTTTGTTGTTTTACTAATGTGTTGTTAGGCTTGGCCTCATGTAAGCTGCCCCAAGTCCCCTTGGGGAGATTGTGGTGGGGTATAAATAAAGTTATTATTATTATTATTATTAATATTATTATTATTATTATAAACCAAGCGTCAGTGCCCCCCGGTTTTTTAATAACTTTTGAACCATTTTTAATGGATCGCACACAGAAAAACTTTCGGGTTCATCCTCAGATCACATAAATACTTTGCCTTCTACATATGAGTTTTAAACCAACTTCAGTTCATTGTCTTTTGCAATGTAAGTGACTCCCTTTGCTCCTTCTCTCCAACTTTCAGGAGCATCCCTTTTGGTTTTCGGTTCTGTTTAACAATATATTGAACCTCGGTTTCTTTTCTTTTTTAGGGGGAACGTGGTTTTCCTGGCAGCGTAGGTTTCCCTGGTTTACAAGGCCCCCCTGTAAGTATCAAGAACATCTATTTGATATATGTTTTTTGATTTTGAATGGCCGCTTCCAGTTTTAGTATGTTTAACTTGTGTTTGGATGCACTGTGGAAGTGGATTCTTAACTCTGTATCTCCCTTTCTTCCCCCACTTCCTTTTCTCATGCAGGGCCAATCGGGCTTACCAGGAATGAAGGTAAATGTCATTTAAACGTAATGTTATTCTACAAACACTTTCCAACCCATGTCTGTTGAATCTGAAATATCTGAAAACTTCCTCAAGACATCACTCTTATTCTAGTTGTGCCGTCACACCCAGACGCTATAACATTAAAACTAAGATGTGTTTCTCTCTTTATCTGGGCGAACTGCTGGGGGTCTTTTTTTGAAGCAATAACTCAATACTTTCAGCAACTGATGACAGTCAAGATATGAACATCAACAAAATATTTATTTCCAAAGTCCTTGGCAGACTTGATAAAGTTACAACACAAACAGTCAATTTGGGAAACCATAGAGATGGTCTTTCTTTCCCTTTTCTTCAATTACTGAGGTAACTTTTCTCCAAATGGTAGAAAAAATCCTGGGATCTTTCACCCTAACCCTGAGCTGCTATGGTTAGAAAGAACAGGTCTTCCCCTATCTAAGCTCAAGGTTAGCTTTGGAGATGAAGTAATGCTCAATAGTACTCAATAACTATTTCTCTCTGTTTTTCAATAACTCAATAGCTTTCCTCAATAACTATAGTATCTCAATAAGCTTCTCTTTATCTCTATATCTATCTATAACTCAATCAGCTTCTCTGTCTAAATAACCCAATTACTCAATTACTCAATTGCTATTCTATCTATCTCAATTTCTCAATTTCTCAATTACTCAATTGCTATTCTATCTATCTATCTATCTATCTATCTATCTATCTATCTATCTCAATTGCCTTTCTTAATAACTCAATTTCTATCTATAACTCAATTACTCAATTGTACTCACAATGGCTTTGTCAGAGCTGGGTTTTTTTAAATGCTCTGTTGATTTTATTGTCATACATGAGCATGCAAGCTTTCACTAGAAAGGCAGTAAAAAGGTAAAGGTAGTCCCCTGACATTAAGTCCAGTCATATCTGACTCTGGGGTGTGGTGCTCATCTCCATTTCTAAGCCGAAGAGCCAGCGTTGTCCGTAGACACCTCCAAGGTCATGTGGCCGGCATGACTGCATGGAGCGCCGTTACCTTCCCGCCGGAGCGGTACCTATTGATCTACTCAAAGGCAGTATAGATATTAAAAATGCAGGATGCATATGCCTTCAACTTGTGTGTCAACCTATGGCAGTCCTCTGCCATTCACAGGGCTTTCTTAAAGAATGCTCAGAAGGGGTTTTCCAAGCTTATTCCCCTGAAATAGAGCCTATAATATTTGCTGATGGTCTCCTGTCCAGGGACTAACCAGGGCTGATCCTGCTTAGCTTTCAAGATCCTATAGGATGTAGTGCTTAGTATATACCTCTCAATCATTGGCCCCCTAAATGTTGTGGATAAATTTGTTGGCTTGTTCACAAACTATGGTTTGTCGTGACATTTGGAAGCATTTGTATGTATCACCAAGCCAGTCGAAAGGTATATGTATTTAACATGAAGCCATAAATATGACTTCTTTCCCCTCCGTTCTCATAAATCCTGAAATAATAATAATTACTATTATTAGAAATTATTATTATTAAAATTAATTATTATTATTATTTAAAAAGGACAGACAGAGTTTTGGAGCACAATACTCCTGACCTCACAATCATGTTAAAAAACAAAGTATGGATTGTCAATATTGAAATCCCAGGTAACAGCAGGATTGAACAGAAACAACTGGAAAAGCTGACACAATATGAGGATTTAAAGATCGAACTGCAAAGACTTTGGCACAAGGCAGTCAAAGGGGTCCCAGTGGTGATCAGCACACTGGGTACAGTGCCTAAAGATCTTGGCCTGCACTTAAACACAATCAGCACTGACAAGATTACCATCTGCTAGCTGCAAAAGGCCACCCTACTCGGATCTGCGCACATTATTCACCGATATATCACACAATCCTAGGCACTTGGGAAGTGTCCGATGTGTGATCCAATACAACAGCCAGCAGCAAAATAATTGTCTGCTGTGGACTCATCTTGTTGTGTTTCAAAATAATAATAATAATAATAATAATAATAATAATAATAATAATAATAAACAACTTCATTTATATTCTACTGCATCTCCCCAAGGGGACTCAGGGTGGATCACAGAACACATCTACAGCAAACATTCAATGCTGTTATACAATTGACAAGGACAGGCAATACATAAACAGAGTTTTAGGCTTTTCTCCATCTTTTCCATCTCCTGCATCTGAAGGCTGTCCTCGACTCCGGCCATGGGGAGGTGCTGTTGCTCCATCTTATTTATTTATTTACAGTATTTATATTCTGACCTTCTCACCCTGCAGGGGACTCAGGGCAGATCACAATGCACATATCCATGGCAAACATTCCATGCCATAGACACACAACATATAGACAGACACACAGAGACTATTTAACTTTCCACTTTCATAAGAGTATGCTTCAAATTCTGACCACCGAGGGAGTTGTGGCTTCCCCGTCCACTTGTGACACTCATGAAGTACTTCCCCATTCTTTTGCACACTACTGGAGATTTTTATAGTGTCATAAATTAGTTATAGTGTCATAAATTAGTCTTTAGGAGGAGCCTGAAAATGTGGTTGTTCCAGTGTGCCTTCCCAGAATAAGGAAACTCCCAGCAATATGTCCTCGAAATGCACTTTACTATGGATCTATGAATGTCTGCATGTCCCATCCCTCTCTGAAAACTCTATCCTAGTTCATATTTCATCAGTTCATGCTCAGCATTATTCTTAAATTTTAATTATTACATTTGGCCCAGCTATAGGTTTTAAACGTCGTTGTGTTACTGCTATTGTTTATTGTTTATTTTTGTTGTGAGTTTTATTTTATTGTCTGTATTAATTGTTGTTATTGCTTTATCATTGATGTACTGTGGGCTCAGCCTCATGTAAGCCGCACCGAGTCCCTCGGGAGATGGTAGCGGGGTATAAATAAAGATTATTATTATTATTATTATTATTATTATTATTAACTTAGTCTCCCCGCATAAGCGGTACCTACATTTCCTACTTGTCAGATACAACTGTCTTTCGGTCAACAGTAGGCTAGTTTGAGTTTGACCCGGGCTGGCTTCAAACTCATGATATTTCGATCAGTAGTGATTTTAATGTAGCTGACTCCCAACCAGCTGCACCACAACCACATCTTCTATGCTGAGAAACTTGTTGTCTGTAGATGACCTCCCAACCGAGTCATCGGCATGTCCTTATAGGTGCCTTTATTACCGTCCCTCTTAAAGTGGTACCTATTTATCTACTCACATTATTGTGAGTAGGTGAGCAGAAGCTGGGCTGACGGCTAACAGCTCACCCTGACTGGGCCTTGAACTGCCAACCTTTCAATTGACAAGATTTTGTGCAGCTGGCAGTTAACCCACATACTGTGGCCCATGCATTTTGGAATACTTCAGCTTCTGTGATTGCTCCAAAATGTCAGTGTTGTTAGGGGAAACTATCCTAAAATAGCAGAGCATCCAAAAACAAATAGAATACAAAATTTGAGCATCAACTCATTAGCAAGCAGAGCATGAAATGCCATGTGATGTCTCTGTAAAGAATTCAGAACTCAGGAGAGTCCAGTCTTTTAAAAATGACAAAAGGTTTCTTTACAATAATAAGAACTGCATTTCTTAATAATTAAGAACTGAGTCTGAGCTACTCGTAACACCCATTTCTTCTAAAGTTACAAGAGATGGAGAAACTCCATCACTACATCTCTCCAGACACACAAGCAGAGAGAGATCTCAAAGCACACACCACATACTCTCCACACCAAAGTGTAAGAAGGCAGATTTAAAAAAGGCTTGCAGTAAAAAAGTATCCATTTTACACAACTAATTAGAATGAGAGTAGAGACACAGAGGAGAGAAGAAATCAGATATATTCCAACAGTCATACAAAAGACATGGGGGAAGGGAAACCCTTAGTCTATACTAAACTAACTAAACTGTTCCTGGGTTGTTGTAGGTTTTTCGGGCTATATGGCCATGTTCTAGAAGCATTCTCTCCTGACATTTCACCTGCATCTATGGCAAGCATCCTCAGAGGTCAACACTTCTAGAACAAGCCATGTTTTTATGATATTTATTTATCGTGTCATCAGCAACCATACCATTGTATTACAATTCTAACAGAGCAAAACAAACACACAGATTAAAAAGAAAAAGAAAAAAACACACAGATTTTGCAAATTTGGTATTTGGTTAAATGTCCTTTGACCAGTATCTGGCCACTTGGAGTGCCTCTGGTGTTGCCGCAAGAAGGTCCTCCATTGTGCATGTGGCAGGGCTCAGGTTGCATTGCAGCAGGTGGTCAGTGGTTTGTTCTTCTCCGCACTCGCATGTCGTGGATTCCACTTTGTAGCCCCATTTCTTAAGATTGGCTCTGCATCTCGTGGTGCCAGAGCGCAGTCTGTTCAGCGCCTTCTAAGTCACCCATTCTTCTGTTTGCCCAGGGGGAGTCTCTCATTCTGGTATCAGCCATGGATTGAGGTGCTGGGTGTTTTGCCTGCCACTTTTGGACTCTCGCTTGCTGAGGTGTTCCAGAGTGTCTCTGTAGATCTTAGAAAACTATTTCTTGATTTAAGTCGGCATGCTGGCTGATACCCAAACAGGGATGCTGGAGATGTCACTGCCTTGGTCCTTTCACTATTGGCTGCTACTTCCCAGCCGATGTCAGGTGGTGCAATACCGGCTAGACAGTGTAATTTCTCCAGTGGTGTAGGGCGCAGACACCCCATGATAATGCGGCATGTCTCATTAAGAGCCACATCCACTGTTTTAGCGTGGTGAGATGTGTTCCACACTGGGCATGCATACTCAGCAGCAGAGTAGCATAGCGCAAGGACAGATTTCTTCACTGTGTCTGGTTGTGATCCCCAGGTTGTGCCACTCAGCTTTCGTATGATATTGTTTCTAGCACCAACTTTTTGCTTGATGTTCAGGCAGTGCTTCTTGTAGGTCAGAGCATGGCACAGGGTAACTCCCAGGTATTTGGGTGTGCTGCAATGCTCCAGTGGGATTCCTTCCCAGGTAATCCTCAGAGCTCGGGATGCTTGTCTGTTCTTAAGGTGAAAGGCACATGTCTGTGTTTTAGATGGATTAGGGATCAGCTGGTTTTCCCTGTAATAGGCAGTTAGAGCACCTAGAGCTTTGGAGAGCTTCTGTTCAACCATCTCAAAGCTCCCTGCTAGAGCAGCAATGGCACGATCATCAGCATAGATTGAGTTTGACCCAGAAGCAACCAGAAGCGACTTGCAGCATGCAAACAATTGAGGACTTGAGACTTGGGCAGTGTGGGGTTGAATTCCAATAAATGTATGGTATAGCTACAATTCGTTTAACTTACGGTCCAAAAGGTTGTCTTCTTCATCCAATTTCCCTCTGTTTTTAAGGGTGAACCAGGTGAAATTATAACAGCTACACTACCGGGACAGAAAGGCGAACGGGGATATCCAGGTCTTCCAGGGATAACAGTAAGTAGATGGAAACATCTGCCTGTGATATCTTGTTTGGGCAAGACTCAGTGGTAAAGCATAGGGATATAATACACACATGTGAATTTTCTGGTATCCTGATTTTCAACCTGTTCTTCTCTTCTTGCTATAGGGCCCACCAGGTCCCGTTGGAACATCAGGTCCCATTGGTCCTCCTGGGCCACCAGGTTTGACGGTACATTTCCTTGACTTTCTCTGTATCATTTGTAAGATAATTAAATGTTGATGAGGGTCCAAGCAGTTGTTTTTGAATGGAGGTTTGTCCATAAGATATAAACCTGAGGGATGGAAACCTGTTCCTTGTATCCTAAACATGCCAACAAGGAAAATCTTTGTGCCAGGGAGAAAGAAAAAAGATACTTTGCTTGATATTTCCTTGGTCAAAGCTGAATTAAAGTACTGGGGCTGTTGGAGCAGTTCTCCAAAAGATAGTAATTCACTACCATGGGTGCATATTGTGATAGCAAAATAACAAAGTCTCTGTAAAGTTATGCACACTGTGTTTGATTCAGTATTTCAAGCCACATTTTTGTAATAAAAATTTCCTGGAAAATGATGAAAATGTGTTTATCATTTCTAGGGTGTTCCTGGCCCACCAGGATTACCAGGCCCAAAGGTATGATATCCTTGGTGAATTTGGTTGGTACTGCTTCTCCTCTTATTATTGTCATTTTGATAACCGACATCATTAGGTTAACCCTGAGAAACTCCATCAGTACTTAAAGTTCATTATGTCGGACAAGTTTGTTCTAGATGCATCACCAGTGAGGTTCAGTGTGCTCTCTGGCTGTAGAGTAAACTATAAATCCCACTATGGTGAGTCAGTCCCCTCAAACTCCTCCAGTAGGTTGAGTTAGTCATTGGAGTTCTGTGTGATGGACCAGGTCCATCATTGGTGGAAGTCCCAGTTTCTCTGATTGTGGGTGAACTACAACTCCCAGAAAGGAAGACGAGTTTCTCCCAAACCCCTCCAGTAATCAAATTTGGGCATATCAGGTATGTGTGCCAAGTTTGGTCCAGATCCATCATCGGTGGAGTTCACAGTTTATCTGATTGTAGATGAACTACAACTCCCAGAAATCGAGGTCTATCCCTCCCACTTCACTTCACTTCACTTCTTAATTAGTCGCTCTCCACCAAGGTGCTCCGAGCGACTTACAGACCCCTACAGTATTCAAATTTGAGCATATCAGGTATGTGTGCATTGTCATCTGGGTTCACAGTGCTCTCTGGATGTAAGTGAACTACAACTCCCCCAAATCAAGGTGAATTTCCCCCAAAGACTGTCAAACTTTGATTTGTTGTTTACTAATTTTGGTTTAAAAAGGACTTACAAACTTGTGCATTCTGCTGTAGAAATCAGCTATTTATCCCACATTAGGAAGTTTTTGATTAATAGACTTGCAAAAAAGGACTTACAAACTTTTATTGGTTATTGATAAACTTTTGGTTTTCTAAAAGGACTTACAAGTGCATTTTGCTGGAGGAATCAGTTGTTTATCCCACATAGGGAATTTTTGGTTTAGAGATTTACTTTATGTATCTTTGTTAAATATAGTTTGTTAAGCTGCTAGTACATTGAATGCTGGAGTACCATTGCATAGATATGATATACATCCTTATGATTATATAACTATTACTTTTGGTGTATAGTGGCCTTTTGCTCTTTGTACTTTGGAGAATCCTTTTTCTCTATTGTTGACTTCCTCCTTGACATTGTAAACATTTATCTTATCACTATTTATTTATCGTGTCAGGCAACCGAACAGTTGTATTACATTTTTGACAGAACAAACAAACAAACATACAAAAGACACAGAGTTTGCAAGCTTGGTAGTTGATTAAATGTCCTTTGACCAGTATCAGGCCACTTGGAGTGCTTCTGGTGTTGCTGCAAGAAGGTCCTCCATTGTGCATGTGGCAGGGCTCAGGTTGCATTGCAGCAGGTGGTCAGTGGTTTGCTCCTCTCCGCACTCGCATGTCATGGACTCCACTTTGTAGCCCCCTTTCTGAAGGTTGGCACTGCATCTCGTGGTGCCAGAGCGCAGTTCTGTTCAGGCCTTCCAAGTCGCCCAGTCTTCTGTGTGCCCAGGGGGGAGTCTCTCATTTGGTATCAGCCATTGATTGAGGTTCTGGGTTTGAGCCTGCCACTTTTGGACTCTCGCTTGCTGAGGTGTTCCAGCGAGTGTCTCTGTAGATCTTCGAAAACTATTTCTTGATTTAAGTCGTTGACGTGCTGGCTGATACCCAAACGGGATGAGCTGGAGATGTCTCTGCCTTGGTCCTTTCACTATTGGCTGCTACTTCTCGGCGGATGTCAGGTGGTGCAATACCGGCTAAGCAGTGTAATTTCTCCAGTGGTGTAGGGCGCAGACACCCCGTGATAATGCGGCATGTCTCATTAAGAGCCACATCCACTGTTTTAGTGTGGTGAGATGTGTTCCACACTGGGCATGCGTACTCAGCAGCAGAGTAGCATAGCGCAAGGGCGGATGTCTTCACTGTGTCTGGTTGTGATCCCCAGGTTGTGCCAGTCAGCTTTCGTATGATATTGTTTCTAGCACCCACTTTTTGCTTGATATTCAGGCAGTGCTTCTTGTAGGTCAGAGCACGGTCCAGAGTGACTCCCAGGTATTTGGGTGTGCTGCAATGCTCCAGTGGGATTCCTTCCCAGGTAATCCTCAGAGCTCGGGATGCTTGTCTGTTCTTAAGGTGAAAAGCACATGTCTGTGTTTTAGATGGATTAGGGATCAGCTGGTTTTCCCTGTAATAGGCAGTAAGGGCACCTAGAGCTTCGGAGAGCTTCTGTTCAACCATCTCAAAGCTCCCTGCTTGAGCAGTAATGGCACGATCATCAGCATAGATGATCTTATCATAGATCTTATCATAGATCTTATCACTGTCCCAGCTCTTATCAGAGTTTACTTTTCAGTTCTTATTAGCAACTTTTAATTATAGCCCAGCAAGCATGTAGTTAATCATTGCAAGCCTTAATATTATACTGGTGTCTCCAAAATTATTAACTCCATCCATACATCCTTCCGTTCTTTCATTGATTCCCACACATCATATTAAATCCACATTTATCAAATCTGCAATGATATTTTTGTGACAAAATGACTGAGTTGGTGGAAGTATTGACATTTTCTTCTTACTGGTCGCTCATTTATTGAGTTTAGTGCAGAATATTTCAATGTTGCTTTTACCTGGGATATAAAGAATAAAGAAGTATTGATGACAACAACTACAAGAATAATTGACGTTATTCTTGTGTTTTCAGGGCAACATGGGCCTGAACTTCCAAGGACCCAAAGGAGAAAAGGTGAGTGTAGAGCAGCTAGGTTAAGCCTTTCTTTAGCTGGTAGAGGCTCATCTTAGGAGAGGACCTCTTTGTACTTCGGGGAAATTATTATTGTTGTTGTTACTGTTATTATAGTAAATATTACTGTCTTCTGGGGAACTTAGGGTGAACAGGGTCTTCAAGGTCCTCCAGGGCCACCAGGACAAATCGGCGAACAGAAGAGACCAAATGATGTAGAATTTCAAAAAGGAGATCAGGTGAGTGAAGAGAAGACATATCACTGGTATTTTTGTAAACTTGACCAAGTGCACCAAGCCACATGAACCATATTCTCCCTTCCAACTGCAATCAGCCCATGACATTTGTCGAAACTTATCCTGTCGACCTGACCTTCCTTCCCCCAATGTCCTCACTTGCCTACTCAGGGATGCCACTCCTGAATGTGGCATACAGACATAATATGAGATGTCATGGAATCCATAACATAACAATAAGATGTTATGGAATCCAAAAATAGGTTGATTTAAATTGAGAGCTAGATCTAGACTTAAGTACTCTTGTACTTGCATCTCACTTCCAGGGCTCTCCTCTTCAGTTTCCATTGCTCTCTTGATTTTTCTCTTTACACCTTTTCCTTGTATTTCTGCCTCCCAAAATGTGAGCTTTGATGCCTTCACAGATACACATTTGATATATCTGTCATGGGATCTTCTTGCATATATTTGTCCTTTTTCTGTTGGATCCTTAAAAAGGAGAGATGGATTCCAGTCCATCCTGGTTTGACTTTCTTGGATTCCTTTGCTTGGTTGTATATGTTGTACTTGTGCAACGAAGCTAATAATAAGATATGCCATTACAGTATAATGTTTACACTCACTTACAGAGTCATTTATGATTATAACTGCCTAGTACAAGTAAAGGTATTGCATCCAATTTAGATCAACCCATCTGATCTAAAGCTTTTCTAAGCAAGGAGGTCTTTTCCTACTTCCAACAGACCTCACTACCTCTGAGGATGCTTGCCATAGATGCAGGCGAAACGTCAGGAGAAAAATTGCCTCCAGAACATGGCCATATAGCCCGGAAAAACCTACAACAACCCAAGGAGGTCTTTGCTTGTAACCCAAAACTCTCAACATGAGGTCTAAGTGGACCTTCCAATCAAGATGAGTAGCCCTCATCTTGATCGGGCACCAAGAAGGATCTCTCAAGGTCCTAACACAGGGATCGGTTTGTACTTGTGTTTCCAAGCTATTTACGGCCTTACAGGTTGTAACATAATATTGGACTTGGAATCCTATGACTGATGGCCATAACTGCACCAATACTTGGTTTTAGTACCAGGAAACATAAAAGAAAGAACTTGGCCTATGTGGTGATATCTTCAAGGCCGGCTACTATGGATGGTGGTTTATTTAAAGGACCAGTGGGTTGGGTGAGCAGTGTTATATCCTTCAGCATGATGCCTTATCGGCATGCAAGACTGAGTCTCTTCATACAATTGTATCATTCTTATTTCTTCTTCTCACTTCCAACTCTTCCTCTCCCTTAAGACCTTAACTCAAGAGGCCCATAGCCTTGGAGAACATCCTGGTGTGAGATCTGGCCCTTTTATGAGGCAGACTCCAGTGTTCATCTGAATTGGAAGATACTAGAAATTTCATGATACTTTGACTACTCTGCTATTTACTATTTAAATATGCAGTCTGTGTCCCTCATGCAAACTTTTCTGGTCACAGGCTCAAGACTAATATGCTATACAAGGGCTGGTGGTGGAGGACACTGTCCCATGACCGGTTGTGGTCAACATAACATTCAATGACCAACTCGGGTTGACATCTAGTTATGGCAGTGGTTCTCAACCTGTGGGTCCCCATATGTTTTGGCCTTCAACTCCCAGAAATCCAAAAAGCTGGTAAACTGGCTGGGATTTCTGGGAGTTGTAGGCCAAAACACCTGGGGACCCACAGGTTGAGAACCACTGAGTTATGGAAACAGGCAAAAGGAGGCACCTGTTGGGGATTCCTCATCTTCAGAAGAGGAAGGGGAGCAGGGAAATGCTCAGGAATTGGAGGGAGAAGAAGAATCAGATGATGAGGGTTTGAAAGTGCCCATATTTCTAGAGAGACAAAAAGAGACAGAGCACAGATGGCGTTCAGCTGGAATAGCTGCTAAAAACGTTGAGCTAATTGGGAGATGCCCTACAACCTCCTACGTGGGGAATTCTGGGCTATAAATCAGAGGCAGGAGTAGTTAGCTTTCGGTGGTAACAACAACCCTGATATTGCTGTTTTCACTCCAACAGAATTTGTTTTGTGTCTGATGCTAAGGACTTAGTTAATTGCCTGTTGTCTGATGGAAGACTGGTGTTTCTCTTGGGATTTTGTAAGGGACTTTAATTTGTGTCTGGATTAAGACTTCCTTTCTTTCATTTGCACTTTTTAATTGCATTTGCTTATCTTTTGTGTTTGCTGAAGTAAAGCATTTTTCTTTTACTTTCAACATTGTCTAAAGGCTGTTTTTGAAGGGCAATTCAGCACCATTTTCCACCAAATGTTAGAAGGCAACAAAGAGAGGGTCTCTCAAACGCTTCACACAGGTGGCACAATGTTTTCAGGTTGTCCCTGACGCTCTCTTTGTGTCCGTGTGCTCCCATGACAGTTGCTTTTCCCGCCCTGCTCCTTAGGCGGCTGTCTCCCCATGGCGACTCTGGCAGTGGGGTACGCGTGCCTCCCCCTTTTTGCGCCATCTGGGATGCTGCAGGAGCTGCTGGGACCCCCGCTCTGTCTCATTGCTCGCCACCCAGTGACGGCCGCCTGATGGTGAGTGCCATGTCCCTCCCACAGGCTGCTGTTGCTGAGTGGCGGGTGGGGAAGGAGAGGCCTGTCCCTGTCTTAGTCAGTCTCTCTGTCTGTCAGTCTTTCTCTCCCTAGCTGTCTTTCCACCTTGTACACTTGCCCAAGTGACCAGCCATCCAACTTCCTCGCCACCTTGGCCCTCTTGTCCTTATCCTCCTGTCTGTGGGACTTCAAACTCTGCATGTCCTTCAGGGAGAGGAGCAGAAGGTCCCACCAGGGATGGCTTGTTGTTCTCCCATGGGGAGAGGGAGATCAAATTCAATGACAACCATGGAATTCTTCTTGTTTTCCATTGCCATCAAGTTGACTTCAGCTTATAGCAATCCCTTGAATGAGAGACCTCCAGGTCAGCCTAACATCAGTAGCTCTGCTCAGGTTTCCCATTTAAATGGGAGTGAAATGGGAGTGAAAACATTACATTCTACCCAAGGTAATGACTTCTCTCTTTTTCCCCTAATGGCTTCTCCTTTTTTTCAACCCCTCCCCCTTGCTTGACAGGGTGCTCCAGGTGAGCGCGGCCCTTCAGGACCACCTGGGCTACCAGGTCCTCCTGTAAGTAACCCACTTTTCCATTGTTTCCTATTATAACATTCTTGAATACCTTTGAGATCATGCAACCAGTTCTCATGGTGTGTTTCTTGCCCCTAGGGCTTTCCCGGTGGTGGAAAAGGTGAAAAAGGTGAGCAAGGAGAACCAGGAAAAAGAGTAAGTAGCATCCTTCAACCCAACATTTTACTTTTCCAAACCATGTATAGCTTTGGGAATTCAGGTTGGGCTATCAAGTGTTGGGTAAGGTATATATATTTCTTCCTTTCTCCTGTGGTCTGTTAAATTGGTGTGGATGGAGATATTATTTGGGAAGACAACATATTTTCCTGGATGAGAAGGCCCCATTGACTACAATACTATATGAGTGTTTGCTTGTAGCAGGAAACAAAGTATGGTTTGTTTAATTAGACTGGAAGAATCTGGGTTTGTTTTATCAGATATGTATATATGTGTGAGTATGTATGTATCTATATCTATCTAGACCAAATTTGGGCATATCGGGTATTTGTGCCAAATTTGATCCACTGAATGAAAATACATCTTGTATATCAGATATTTACGTTATAATAATTTGCATTATTTATTGGCATTATTTTTATCCCGCTCGTATCAGCCCGAAGGCGACTCAGAGCCGCATACACAATCGGCACAATTCGATGCCATAAAAATACATACATTGATAAACAAAGAACCATTATAGTGCAATTAGACATAAGACAGTGCATAATAACAATATTAAAAACTAAAAACTATATCCTCTCATTCAAGTCCATATCCGTTCCATCGTCTTGGCCGTTCCTGGGTCATTTTCCAATTCAAGTTTGTCTATTTATTCAGAGGTTGCAAATGCTTGCTCAAAGAGTCAAGTTTTTACTCTTTTCCAAAAGGTCAGGAGGGAGGGGGCTGATCTAATATCCCTAGGCAGGGAGTTCCACAGCCGAGGGGCCACCACAGAGAAGGCCCTGTCTCTCGTCTCTGCCAGACGTGCTTGCGAAGCAGGCAGGATCGAGAGCAGGGCCTCCTTGGATGATCTCAAATTCCTGGAGGGTTCGTAGGAAGAGATGCGTTCGGATAGGTAAGCTGGGCCGGAACCGTTTAGGGCTTTATAGGCTAAAGCCAGCACTTTGAATTGAGCCCAGTAGCAAGCTGGCAGCCAGTGGAGCTGGTTCAGCAGAGGAGTTGTATGCTCCCTGAGCTCCGCTCCTGTTAGTTACCTGGCTGCCGAGCGTTGGACCATTTGGGGCTTCCGGGCCGTCTTCAAAGGCAACCCCACATAGAGCGCATTGCAGTAATCTATACTGTTATAATTCATAACAGTAGCAAATTTAGAGTTATGAAATAGCAATGAAAATAATGTTATGGTTGGGGGTCACCACAACATGAGGAACTGTATTAAAATAATGTTATGGTTGGGGGTCACCATAACATGAGGAGGGGTATTAAGGGGTCGTGGCATTAGGAGGGTTGAGAACCACTGTTCCAAGACAATGTGGTCCGTCATTGGGCATGTCCTATAGTGAAAAAGAAGTTCCTAATATTTCCGTGGAATTTCTTTCCTTGAAATTTGAATCTATTGGTTCTGGCGCAGCAGCAGATAAGCTGGCGCCATTTGCCTTCTAAGGGATGCAGAAGAAACACACGTTGCCTTTTGTTGTATCAGCCAACATTGGAATGCCAGTAGCATCTTTGCCCTATGAAAGTTTCTTGTTTTTCAATCTTTGTTTGTATTTTCAAAGGGAAAACCTGGCAAGGATGGAGAGCTAGGGCAGCCTGGATTACCTGTGAGTGTTTTATATTTTCTCTCTCTTTCTTTTCTATATAATGAACACACACTCCTTCAATATTCTGAAGGTTAATCTCTCCCTCTTTTTCCTTTCCTTTGAAGGGCTTGCCTGGTGGTCGTGGTGTCGCAGGATTTCCAGGACGAGATGGGGAAAAGGTAAGGATGCTTTATGTCTTAGAACCTCCATCCGTGTGCATTTGGCGAATATATAAAGAATTACCCAAAACCTCAGTATCCTTGTAGAGCAGTGGTTCCCAACTTTTATTGACCATGGACCACTTGACCAGGTGCTACTTTGACCAGGGAACACTCTCCAACATTATTACAATAATAATAATAATAATAATCTTTATTTATACCCTGCCACCATCTCCCCAGAGGGGACTTGGAGTGGCTTACATGAGGCCAAGCCCGGTAATACATTGCAGCAAAATAAATACAGAATGGCAATGTGAAGGAGCATATAATACTGCTACTAATTGTAAAGGCTTGGCAACTAATTTGTAATGATGCCACCAAATTGTAAGGATGTATAAATATAACTACTATCTATATGTAGAGAGTCACCTCTTTGTGAGGCCTTATTATATTGATGACACAACCAATAGCTTGTAATGTTGCTTTGGTCTTTCTTCAATATGTAGCGTGACTTGACTTGGAAAGGAATGGTAACATAGGCTTGACTTTAAAAAGAAACTATAACAAGTTTATTGAGGTACAGAAGCTTGATGGTTTCAAACTTTCCTTTCTCTTAGAGGTACAGATCTTCAAAGGTTACATTCATAACAATTCATAAATAACTCTTAGGTCTAATTCTGCTAACAAACAGGTCTCAAACTTAGTTCCTTTAAAAAGGTGTTTCTTTCTTTAACAGGTTGTTTCAGGCACACACTTATCCTTTCTTTATGATGGTTCTGTTACAATAAAGATGCATATTAGGGCTTCCCCTCTTTTTCCACAACCGTTACTTTTAATATAAATAAGTCACCTTAACTAAACTATATTGGCTCAAAGCCAAAACCTTCCTGATTCTTAATACCAAAGAATCAGCCTTCCCCTGGTAGTCCACGGACAACAGGTTGGGAACCAATGTTGTACAGAAATGTACAACATTTCTGCCCCCGGTGGCGCAGTGGGATAAACCCCTGTGCCAGCAGGACTGAAGACCAACAGGTCGCAGGTTCAAATCCGGGGAGAGCATGGATGAGCTCCCTCAATTAGCTCCAGCTCCTCATGCAGGGACATGAGAGAAGCCTCCCACAAGGATAGCAAAAACATCAAAACATCCAGGTGTCCCCTGGCAACATCCTTGCAGACAGCCAATTTTCTCCTGACACGACCAAAAAACAAAAACAAAACAAAAACAGAAATGGGTGTCTATCCATCCACATATTCTTCTCCAAGACCAGCACTCTTAAACACATTTGGGTTTATGGGGCCAATTCTTGGGTTATGTGTATATGAATTCACCTTGTTTGTACAAAGGACCCTTTTTTCTGCATAAAATCATTTTGTGGTGAAGTATATTATTCCAACAAAACTTTCCCCTAAAATGTGAAAGAGAAATCTTTGCAAAATAAGCAAAAACTCTCCTAATCTTTCCCAGAAGTGAGTTGTGAAGCTTTTCATGCTTGTATATAAGAGTTAAATAATGGCAAATCCCTAATGTGCATACAGTTCCTAGTGTGCTTTACCACTAACATAAAACTTGTTGAAATTTTCTTGGCAGGGTCAGAAAGGTGACGCAGGTCTTCCCGGCCCTCCTGGACTTGTAAGTTTCTAGCCATTTGACCTGTTCCCTCCATTTTGCTCTACATGGGACCCTTTCTTCCATATGGATCAAAATAACTTCATTTAATTTAAAATCTGTATTGTGGTTTGGGAAGTTTGTGCAAAATTCTCAGGAAATCAACCAGGTGTGAACTTTGTTGAACTTTCTAAGCTTCTAAAAGAACTTTGTGTGGGCAAATCCGAAAGGTCTCTCAGCCGAGGCACCCCTGGCGTCCTGTTGGGCGTACAGAAAACACATCCTGTCTACAGACTCTTTCACAGGTCCAGCATGTGACTGCACATGATAAATAAGTAAACAAATACATCTTGATTCTTTCCATGTCATTTCTGCTTCTGCTACCAAATTTTCACTTATGCCCAGGAAATGCAACCATTTTGTTAATTCTGCCTTCTATTTTAGATACATCAGGAATCCCATATAATAAGTAGAATCTCAGTTGAGCCTGTCTGACTCCTGTTGCCTTTCTCTTTGCATATTTGTGTAATTGTTGTTTTCCCAATTTGTGGGGTTTGCCAGGTGATTCCTAGGCCAGGAACGGGGGCATCGGTGGGACCGAAAGGAAGCAAAGGTTTGCCTGGGTTTCCCGGAGAAAAAGGCGAGCGTGGCTACCCCGGTCTGGAAGGTCCCCCCGGCCTTCCAGGTCCCCCAGGTAAGGAGAGGAGTTTTGGGGTTTGCGCCACATTGGGCACCAACCTGCCCAGTGATGTGGTTTCCAAACCAAAGAATACACCTTTTCAAATAAAGAGGGAAGGCGGACCACATGTACCATAATTTTAATATAGTGGTATGTTGGCTTTCTGCCCATGTAAAGCCTGACATTGACAATACATATCCAGGAACTAAATAAATAAATTTCAGAGTTTGTTTAGGTACAGGCAATCCCCAAGTTACAAACATCTGACTTAATTTTGACTCGGTTTACAAACAGGGTAGGCAACCAGAAGTGAGAGAAATCTCCCCCTCAGAAGGGAAATTCACTCCTGGAAGAGTTGTAATAATAATAATCATCATCATCATCATCATCATCTATATATATAAAAATGCTCTGTGTGTAATGAGTACCTTAAAAACAAAAGAACCAATGAACGAAATCACACCAAATTTGGCAACAAAACGTCTCACTACACAAGGAGTGATCACCACTCAAAACATTATGATTTTGTCATTTGGGAGTTGTAGTTGCTGGGATTTATAGTTCACCTCCAATCAAAGAGCATTCTGAACTACACCAACGATAGAATTGAACCAAACTTGGCACACAGGACACCCATGACCAACAGAAAACACTAGAAGGGTTTGGTGGGTGTTGACCTTGAGTTGTGAAGTTGTAGTTCACCTACATCTAGAGAGCACTATGGACTCAAACAGTGATGGATCTGGACCAAACTTGGCACGAATACTCACTATGCCCAAATATAAACACAGATGGAGTTTGGGGGAAATAGACCTTGAGATTTGGGAGTTATAGTTACTGGGATGTATAGTTTGCCTACAATCAAGAAGCATTCTGAACCCCAACAACGATGGAATAGAGCCAAACATCCCACACAGAACCCTCATGACCAAAAGAAACTACTGTGTTTTCTGGTGGTCTTTGGTGACCCTTCTGACACCCCCCTGGTGACCCCCCCCCCCGGGTCTTGACTTCCCAGGTTTAGAAATGCTGCCTTAAGGCCATCCAGTCCAACTCCCTTCACCAGGGCAAGAAAACATAATCAAAGCCCTCCTGACAAAGGGCCATTCAGCCATTCACACACACACACATGTATATGACAGATGCAGTATAAAGATTTGAAAGGGACCCCTAAAGAAGGACAATGATATGTTGCATGTTCCAGAGTAGGCAAACCAGACAATCTCCACATCTACACTGTCAAAGAAACAGTAAGAAATACTGTTTACCCACAAGCATAAAGAAATTACATATATTAGAAACCAGCACTTTCTCATTACTTTATTTTCCAGATCGTGTGGCAGGGGACAGCTAGTAATAATAATAATAATCTTTATGTATACCCCGCCAACATCTCCCCAAAGGGGACTCGGGGTGGATAACACGAGGCCAAGCTCAAAAACAATACAGCCAATTTAGACACAAAATAATAGAAAAATTACATCACAACAATATACATAAAGTAGCAAAATAAAATTAAAAAATTATAATGGGAAAGAGGAGTTTCCACTGAAGCTTTCTCACCAAAAACCTATCTCCTTCAGTGAGGGACTATTATGTTAACTTCCAGCCAAAGTTGTTTTATTGTATATGGTATGCCATTATTTCTTGTTTCCACTGTAAGTTCAGGAAAAGATTCCTGGCAGATATGGAAGCTGTTTTTTATATTTCATGTATAAGCTCCCAAAAGTTAAGGAGTGTGGTCCTGAGAAAGGATTCTGTTTCTCCTTCAAGGTCTCTGTGAAATCCCACATATGGTTGTTTGATGCGCATGTGCGGATTTCACAGATGACCACTCGAAGAAACATGTAAGCAACCATACGTTGTGCGCAAAAACATCTTTGCCCATTGTCATTTGTTAGACTCCCCTTTGTGCTTTACACTGCTTGCAATAATAATAATAATAATATTAATAATAATAACAACAACAACAACAACACTTCATTTATATTCTGCCCTTCTCACCCCGAAGGGGACTCAGGGCAGATCACAGCACATATACACGACAAACATTCAATGCCACTTTGTATAGACAATACACAGACAGACAGAACAGAATAGAAGGAGGTGGTTTGTTTCAGCTGTTTTTGGTGTCATGGAAGGTTGGGCTCTATGACAAAGAGCTGTCAGGACTTCCTCCTTCCTTTTGGTCACCCAGCATTTTCTGATCTTTCTTTATGGCATCGTAAAACACATCCCCCGCTTTTAGCAGTACCTAATTTCTCTAATGACAGCTAAAGCTGTTTTCAAATTGCTTAAGTAAAAATGAGCTAGGCTGACAGTTGGCAGCTCACGCCAACACCAAGCTTCGAACTTGCAACCTTTTAGTTGATATATCTTATATTTGTTGATGATTTATCAGTTGTCCTAAACCTCCGGCATTTACCCTAGAGATCCAATGCAAGTGATCTGATTCCACTTTGACTGCCATAGTTCAGTATTATGTAATACTGGGATTTGTAGTTTGAGAAGGTACTCAAGCTGTCTGGCTAAGAATCCTAAATACTCTTCCCTAAACTGTGAATCCCATATTCCATAGGAAAGAGTCGTGATAGTTAAAGTATATAACGTTATTTTTCTGTCATGTGACATATTTTAGATTAATCATAGTTCGGCATGCTATCCGCACACGAATTCTAACTCTAATTAGGCAGACTATTGACTTTTTCAGAATGTGACTTCATTCCATTCATTCTAGTTAGGATTAACCAAGTCTATCCAAATTATAACAAAACTGCGAGCTGTGCTTAATCCTACATGTAAGTAAATGCTTAGTAAATTCACCTCCTAGCACACTCCGTCTTGGAACAGAATCTGAAATAGAGGTGACCAATCAGATATCGCTGGACTGCAACTCCCAATATTACAATATGATGAGAGATCATGGGAATTGCAGCTCAAAATGACTTGGAGGGTTCATCATTCCATTGCTCAAAGAATTGCTCTGTAGTAAACATCTCATTGAGAAGATACATTTTTCCCTACTTTAGGAATTCCAAGCACAGGACCTCCTGGTCCACCTGGTCTTTCTGGAGAAAGAGGGCAGAAGGGCGATCAAGGTCTTCCTGGTATTTCCATCCCTGGCCCTCCTGGACTTGATGGCCGACCTGGATCCCCTGGTCCACCAGGCCTACCCGGCCCACCAGGAACAACAATTCCACCAAGTAAGACCCCCAATTAATTGCATATCATTTCTATATCCCTTTCTTGAACCAATACGCAGCTGATAAAGATCAACCCTCCTTAGATGACCATGGTCTTCTTCATATGGCCCTTTTCTCCATAGCACTATGATTGGGTAGTTTTCCACATTTTGTGTAGGCTTTTTCAGATGTAACGTTCAATCATGGCTTGGTGATCTAGATGTAATGTTAAATCATGATGTAATGATCCAGATGCAATGTTAAATCATGGTTTCATGATACCGATGTAATGTTATATCATGGTTTCATGATTCATATGTAACATTAAATCTTGGTTTAGTAAACAAATTTTCTTGACCTCATTTGTGGAGCATATCAGAGGAAATATTCCATAACGTCCATGAGGTTGCCAAGTTTTCCTAGCTAGATGTGATAGGAGACATACACACTGCCTTTGGTAGCTGTGACACTCAAGTGGTTGGCTTATGTTGAAGTTAAATGTATGACTTGATTTTGGGTTGTTTGAATCATCCTACCTCCCTTTATTGGAGGTCTTCTTTAGCTGTGGTCCATGGACCTCAAGAGTTTTCAAGGTTTCCATAACCATGAAACAAGGATTGTGTTTGTAGCTTTTACTGTATACAGCTTGTCAGAAGATCTAAGAGAGAAAAGGTACGTTCATCCATTTATATGTTTACTAACTGTGTTTGCCTTTCCTTTCAGTTGGTATGCTGTGTGAACAAGGACCTCCTGGCCCACCAGGCCTTCCAGGGCAACAAGGATTTGTGGGAGAGAGGGGCCAGAAAGGTATTTTAAAAGCTGCCCTGTCTTGGAGAAAAACATGGGATGTAAATAAAGGTTATTATATTTGCTGTTATTCCATGTGTTGTTACTCACTTCACTGCTTCACCTGTTCTTTCCAGGAGACAAAGGGGACACATGTTTCAACTGCATAGGAAGTGGCATACCTGGACCACCAGGGGAGAAGGGAGAACCTGGATTACCTGGCAGCCCAGGTAAGGTCAACCATGGCTCCATCCAGCCCTCTCTGCTCTGTATTAAGCCATGTTTAGGACTACACACTTTTCTACACAACTCTCTTGTTGCTGCAGTTCCGCTGGCTGCTGGTCGATTTCCAGACACAGATAAAAGTGCTGGTGAAGATCTATAGAACCCTGTATGGCTTGAGTTTGGGCTGTTTGAATCATTGTATCCCCCTTTATTGGCATTTTAAGGTCTTCTGGAGAGGTCTTTTTTAGCTGTGGTCCGTGGATCTCAAGAATTTCCGTGATCTGGAACTAAGAAACTCGATCTGCCACCACCCACTTGGCTTTCTTTCTTGTTAATTTGAAAAATTCTAGCCAAGTGCATTTTTTCTCTACGGTTTCTCTCAGATTTGCAAAGAGATCTGTATCATCAAGAACACCCATCCGTCTACTGAATTAATATTCTTAGAGTAATGGCTGAGATCCTAGATTAGCTGCAAAGTTAAATATACTTAACTGAGTAGCATCTCCTGACCTGGAGCCTCTGGTGGCACAATGGGTTAAAACCCTTGTGTCGACATGACTGCTGACCGAGAGGTCAGTGGTTCAAATCTGGGAGAGCGGGTTGAGCTCCCTCTAACAGCTCCAGCTCTCCCCATGTGGGGACATGAGAGAAGCCTCCCACAAGGATGGTAAAACATCAAACATCCGGGCATCTCCTGGGCAACGTCCTTGCAGTCGGCCAATTCTCTCACACCAGAAGCGACTTGCAGTTTCTCAGGTGTTCCTGATAGAGACACACAAAAAAATCTCCTGACCTGACCCCACAATCCCATTTTACTGGGCTGCAACTGCTGCGAGCAATGGGAATCAGTTTTATTAAGTGGGGTGAAGCATCCTCACACTTGCCCCACACAATGCTCTCTGGTGTGACAAACAGAAGCAAGACACTTGTCCTGTTCATGTCAGAGATCACTGACAGGGAGCTAATGCTAAACTCGGTATACTGTATCTTAATAGAATAACAGACCTCCAGCACTTGCAGCTGCTGCGTTATAGAACAGAAATGTTAGTTACTTTTGTGCTCACAAATGCTCATGCTCACTCCACACAGTTGTCTCTGGTGTGACAAACAGAAGCAAGATACTTGTCCTGTTCATATCAGAGATCATTGACAGGGAGCAAATGGTAAACTTGATATACTGTATCTTGATAGAATAACAGACCTCTAGCACTTGCAGCAGCTGCGTCATAGAACAGAAATTTTAGGAACTTTTGTGCTCACAAATGCTCACGCTCACTCCACACAGTGGTCTCTGGTGTGACATACAGAAGCAAGATCCTTGTCCTGTTCATATCAGAGATCATTGACAGGGAGCTAATGCTAAACTCGGTATACTGTATCTTGATAGAATAACAGACCTCCAGCACTTGCAGCAGCTGCGTCATAGAACAGAAATGTTAGGAACTTTTGTGCTCACAAATGCTCACGCTCACTCCACACAGTAGTCTCTGGTGTGACAAACAGAAGCAAGAGCCTTGTCCTGTTCATGGCAGAGATCATTGACAGGGAGGGAATGGAAAACTTGGTATACTGTACCCTGATAGAAGAACAGACCTCCAGCACTTGTAGCAGCTGCTGCATAGAACGGAAGTTTTAGGAACTTTTGTGATCATGAATGCATAGGGCCCATGACTCTAAACTCCCAACCTGGCAGTATATTTGATATTGAACCTGGATTCAATACCAGAGCTGTTTTCCAAAGCTGTAGAAACCTACCTTTTCAGTGCTGGTTAAAGTCTTCCCTGTTTGAACTGTATACAGATCTACCACTTTCCCTGTCCTAGAGAATGAATTGACAAACAATGGCTACCATTGATTTTTGTCTTACTTGTGAACAGGTTCTCCTGGTTTCCCAGGGTCAAAAGGTGACAAAGGATTCCCTGGCATAATTGGCCTGGTTGGGCCCCAAGTAAGTGACTGTAACAGTTGTGTGGGGGAGCATGGAGTTGGAGGGAGAGTGTAGCAATGACTCTCTGCAGTTCTAATTACTGAAATAGTGACTTCTTTTCCTAGGGTCTTCCTGGCGCGCAAGGGCCTCCTGGGCGTATGGGTGCCAAAGGCGATCCAGGTGATGTCCTTGCTTTTCCTGGAATGAAAGGTGAAAAAGGAGACCCAGGCTTCCCAGGCCCTTCAGGGCTGCCCGGTTTGGATGGGACACCTGGACAAAACGGACTGCCGGGGCCTCCTGGGCCCAAGGGAGAGCCAGTAAGTTCCAGCAAATTGAGCATTGTTGCAAATCCATTCTCTTAAATGTGAGCTAAGCTAAAGGAGTGATGTGTGTTTATTCTAACCCTAGTTCCCAATACTATGAGCCTTACTTTCTGAATGGATGGTGGGAACTCTCGCTCTCAAAGGGAAACATTTCCTTGCTGTGCTGTGTATGTCTGTCAAATACTTCCTGATTCAATCCAATCACCAAACTTACAACTGATGAAACTGTCCAGAATTCCAAGCAGTGTCCACGGCTCTCCTGAGCACAGAATCCAAGGCATGGTTTCAAATGTTGCAGGACATGGCAAAGCCTTAAATGTTGCTTTCACAGCCAGTCTCTGTTTCTCTCAGGAATTCTGATTGAATGTCTCAACTGAGATTTTCATAGTTTCCTCCTTTCTGTTGAAATTTTCCACATGCTTGTGGATTTTAATGGCTTTTCTATGTTGTCTGACATGGTGGTTGTGAGAGTGGTTCAGCATTTCTATGTTCACAAATAATATGCTGTGTCCAGGTTGGTTCATCAGGTGCTCTGCTATGGCTGACTTCTCTGGTTGGATTAGTCTACAGTGCCTTTCATGTTTCTTGATTCATGTCTGGGCAATGCTGCTGCGTTTGGTGGTCCCTATGACCACAATGGCTTCAAACTACAAGAAAGGAAATTCCATCTGAACATTAGGAAGAAGTTCCTGACTGTGAGAGCCGTTCAGCTGTGGAACTCTCTGCCCCAGAGTGTGGTGGAGGCTCCTTCTTTGGAAGCTTTTAAACAGAAGCTGGATGGCCATCGGTCGGGGGTGTTTTGAATGCAATTTTCTGCTTCTTGGCAGGGCGTTGAACTGGATGACCCATGAGGTCTCTTCGAACTCTATGATTCTATGTAGACTTGTCCACAGCTGCATGGTTTATGGTAGACTCCTGAAGAGATGAGAGGATCCCTCTTCTCCTTTGCTGAACGTGGGTCTGTAGATAGTTTATAGGTTGTGTTTCTTCATCAGTTTCCCTATGAAAATGAACAAATCTGGCTATTGGTACTAAAAACTCAAAAATCAGGACAGTAAATAAAGAGCAACACTCAGAAAACAGCAAAATACCAGACAAGAAACAATCAGGGCCAGCTAACACCTCTCCACAAAGGATTCGCCCAAATGGGAAGTAGGCAGGCTTCGAAGCTGCAAGTCTATTCAGTACTAATCAAGCTGGCCAATTGCAACATTCACACTTGCCTCCAACAGACAACAGTTCTTTCTCCCACTCTGGACATTCCACAGATATATAAACCTTACTTACCTAGTATCCAACAGACCTCACAACCTCTGAGATGCTTCCCATAGATGTGGGCCAAATGTCAGGAGAAAATGCTTCTGGAATATGGCCATACAGAATGGAAAACTCACAGCAGTCTAGTGATTCCGGCCATGAAAACCTTTGGCAGCACATTTTTCTCTTTGTTCAATACGTTTTCTTTCTTAGCCTCCTCCACCAAACCCTCTTACGTTAAGCTGAGTAGTTGTTGCTTCTGGGTGTGGCTGAGGGAGTTGCTGTTCTTGACTAGGCTCTAGTTCCACAGCCCACCCCTCATTTGAACATCCTTGTTGATCAGCAAGAACACCATGTTAGGTTTGACATAGAGTCAGGAATGACTTGAAGGCCCACAACTATAACAGCGAATAGACAGACCATCCATTAGCAAAGCAATCCATGCCTCTTCTTATAGAGTGGGCTGTAAATAGATAAACATTGGCCAAACTGTTACGATGCGAGTGTTTTTCACTTTGCCTTTCCTTGTCCTTTCAGGGAGGGATCAACTACAAAGGAGAAAGGGGCCCCTCTGGCGATCCAGGACTTCCTGGACTTACAGGGGATCGGGGGCCTTCAGGACCTCCTGGATTTGGCCCCCAGGGTCCCCCAGGAGAGAAAGGCATCCAGGGGGTTTCAGGTCGGCCAGGACCTCCCGGAGTCCCAGGTAAGTCTAGTGACCCTTTCTTGATCAAGCCCTTAAGATAGTGGTTCTCAGCTTTCCTAATGCTGCAACCCCTTAAAACAGTTCCTCGTGTTGTAGTGACCCACAACCATAAAATTATTTTAATTGTTACTTAATAACTATAATTTTATTACTGTTATGAATCATCATGTAAATATCTGATATGCAGGATGTATTTTCATTCACTGGATGAAATTTGGCACAAATACCCGATATAACCAAATTTGAATACTGATGGGGTTGGGGTGGGGATTGATTTTGTCATTGTAGTTGCTGGGAATTATAGTTTACCTACAATCAAAGAGCATTTGGAACTCCACCAACAATTGAACCAAACTTGGCACACAGAACTCCCATGACCAACAGAAAATATTGGAAGGGTTTGGTGGGCATTGACCTTGAGTTTTGGAGTTGTAGTTCACCTATATCTAGAGAGCACTGTGGACTCAAACAATGATGGATCTGGACCAAACTTGGCACAAATACTCAATATGCCCAAATGTGCACACTGGTAGAGTTTGGGGAAAATAGACCTTGACATTTGGGAGCTGCTGAGATTTATAGTTCACCTACAATCAAAGAGTGTACTGAACCCCACCAACGATAGAATTGTTCCAAACTTACCACACAGAAACCCCATGAACAACAGAAAATACTGTGTTTTCTGATGGTCTTTGGCAACCCCTCTGACACCCCCTAGCAACCTCCCAGGGGTCCTGACCCCCAGGTTGAGAAATACTGCCTTAAGACAAAAATCTCTGATCATCATCAGGTTTACACCAAAATTTAGGTGTATTCATACTTCTAAGAACATGGTGGAAAATCACAAGGTCCTTGGTATCTTGGTTTTTAAGCATGTTCCTGGGGTTATTTGGGGCACTGATTCAGAAAGTTGCTTTGGATAGTTTAAGTTCTAGTTTCAGCTCTAGTTTGTTAGATATGATTATAGTGGTTTTCTTTAGGCAAGTAGATGGTAACTGGTAGATGAGACTGTCTTATTGTTTTAATTGTGATTTATGTTTAATTGTGGTTTTACTATTGTAATTGTTTGTATTGGCATCGTATTGGTGCCCAACATAAGGCATTGGATCTTGCCATTATTTATGTGTAAACCGCTTTGAGTCCACCCAGGGGCGAGAAAGCGGTATATAAATACTGTAAATAAATATATTCTGTATCTCAAAAACTAGAGCTAATAGGGGGAAACTGTTGCCATTTCTGGAGTCATCAGATCAGATTTACCCAGAAACAAATCTAACATCGGAGGCACTAAAACATATGTTAGCCAATGTAATTGGATGTTTTTAAATTGTGCATGATTATTTTCTTCTTAACAATCTGCCTATTTAAAGATACACTGAGGGGTTTTGGAGGGGGGGGGGGGGTCTGTATTAAATCCTAACATCTCGTCTATGAATTATGAGCGACTTCTCTGTATTTATCCTGCTTTCAGGACCCAAAGGAGAACCTGGTCAAACTATCACAGAATCGGGGTCTCCGGGTATCCCTGGCCCCCCAGGAAGGGATGGTGAAATTGGCCTCCCAGGTAAGAAATTACCTGGGATTCCCAGTGAATGTTCTCCCCGCTTTACATGGGAGTGGGGTTGGATGGGAGCGAGGAAGAAGGGATTTTTCTATTTTGATCAGAAAGGTGTCCCAAAGCATGTTCTGCAAAAATGGCCAGGTGCTGCAGAATTTTTCATATTACAGGTCTTTCTGCAAAGAAAATGGTGCAGAATTTTTTTTTACAGGAAAGAGAAAATTTCACCCAATTTGTAATGAAAGTGTTGCAAAAAATTTCCCCAAAATGTGAAAAATCATCCGAAATGTTTAGAAATGTTCATGATCCTTACCAAATAATGAAAATTTTCATTGATGAAAGCTAGAATAAAATAGGATTATTTCCATATTGAAGAACCCTAATGGTGTGATAGACTTTAATTGCTGTGTCTAAAAAGACTGGGATTTAAGGTTGGCCAAAGTGCTCAGAATGTTATATTTACCCACTGATCTCCAGCACCAGAGTACCTCCTTTGGACTACAAATCCCAGGATCCTACAAGGGGAAGCCATGACAGTTAAACAAAGATCAGACTTCCCTAATTGTGAAATGTAGATAGTGGAGATTTAAAGCCCTTGACTTTGCTGACTGAGCTGTATCTTCTTCCAGGTGACCCAGGTTCCCCAGGGCAACCTGGATTGCCAGGAGTCCCTGGGCAAAAAGGTGAAATGGGATTACCTGGCATCGGACTTCCAGGCCCACCCGGGCCTAAAGGTTTGTTTTTGTAGTATTTCATACTCCCCATGACACTTGTACATAGATTGTGTCAATCTGGATTCAAATCCTCACTCAGCCTTACATTATTTGGAGTGAACCACCATCTTTCAGCATAACCCACCTCAGTTGCTTGGTGGAAGGGTGAAAGAAGTTGGGTTGCAACTGGACCAAGTGGTAGTCTACGAAATCTTGGAGGGCCACACACCAAATGCCTTTGATTCTGTTACTCTTGTTTTGTTCTTTAAAAACATAATTTGTATTCATCTCTATTGACATTTTGACTTTCCATTAAATGGGGAAACAAGAGAGGAAGTCAGAAATGGTAACATCTCAGATCAAGACAAGATGTCAACTTATTGTCATCTTCCCAATGATAAATTCTCTGAGTCTGTAGTTTAGATGTAGCAGATAATCCTACCTTTCTGGTTCTCTTTCGATTTCAGGACTAGATCTTTTTAGGGTTAAAGGCTGGGAGATAATCCCATGGAAGAAAAGGAGTAGAAACATCTTGAGAATGTAGACGGTGGCCTCTTTGGGCTGACCAAAGGGATACCTGGTCCACCACTCTATTTCTCACAGAGATCAGTAAGAAACCTACAAGCAAGACATGACTTCTGCTACTGTTACTGACTCCTGGACACACCATTGTTGTCCTATTTTGGAAAGTGAACTGGGTCAGACTTGGTTAATACTTGGAAGGGAGACCACCAAAAGATCTCCAAGTAGAGCTATGAAAGCATCTACTTGAAATCTCAAAGAGCCATTGCTTTCAGATAGAATTAGCAATAGACTTGTGCACAAATCTGTTATTCTTCGGTATCTTCGGTACCTTTGAGAGCACATAATGGGAAGGGTCCTCCCAATATGAAAGCCGGACACGAAAGCAAGCGAGACCCGATACCGGATCCTCCTCTGCTTTTTGGGAGCACGCTGTTCTCCTCACACGGCATGTGCTCTTTTCTCTTAAGCCCTTTCTTTAAACCCAGATCTCCTCTTCAGACCGAGGAGAAAGCATCACAGGAAGAATGGTATCTGAAGTAACTCTGATGCTTTTAATCCAGGTCTTAATGAAGGATATAAGGACAAACAATGCCATTGCCGAAAATGATGGGAAGGGGAGGGGAATCCCCCCATTGCCACCAATGGACCGAAAATAGCAGAACGAAAACGCCCTTTCGGAAACGCCCTTGTTTTTGGGAGGTACCTGAAAACAGATATCAGGGGCTTCCGGTGTCCAGCAAGCAGGAACAGATTGATATTCACCCGAAATGTACAAGCCTAGTTAGTAGTACTAGGTTAGCTGAACCCCTAGTCTGATAGATAGGTAGGTAGGTAGGTAGGTAGATAGGTAGGTAGGTAGGTAGGTAGGTAGGTAGATAGATAGATAGATAGATAGATAGATAGATAGATAGATAGATGATAGATAGATAGATAGATAGATAGATAGATAGATAGATAGTTTATGTAATGCTTAGATCATAGGTCTTTCACATATATGACAGGTAAATCTATATAAATAAAAATGTAATGTTCGTTTGTGGGATTAAAATAACTCAAAATACCTCTGGACAAATTGACAACAAATTTGGACACAGTACACGTATCAGGCCAACAAGTGACCATCTATATAAATAAAAATGTAATGTTCGTTTGTGTGATTAACATAACTCAAAAACCACTGGACGAATTGACACCACATTTGGACACAATACACCTATCAGGCCAACGAGTGACCATCACTCATAAAGCACTGAAAAACACAACAGAAGGGACTTAAAAAGACAAAAAATGCATTACAGCACATACACAAAGCCACATATATACAGATATACACACACAAATAAACACACAAAGCACATATACACAGACTGGGCCACAGCAACGTGTGGCAGGGGACAGCTAGTCACTCATAAAAACACTGAAAAATACAGCAGAAAATACTTAAAAAGCCAAAAAACAAACAAAATTCATTACAACGCATGCGCAAAACCACATATATACACAAACACACACATACACAAATATACAACACACATACACATTATACACACACAAAACACATACACAGACTTGGCCACAGCAATGTGTGGCAGGGGACACCTAGTAAATACATAACAACCTAATGTATGTCCTTTTCTCAAAAAAATTGATTTTGTCATTTGGGAGTTGTAGTTGATAGGATTTATAGTTCACCAACAATCAAAGAGCATTCTAACCCCACCAACGATGAAATTGAACCAAACTTGGCACACAGTTCTCCCATGACCAACAGAAAATACTGGAAGGGTTTGATGGGCAATGTCCTGTGGGTTTGGAGTTATAGTTCACCTACATCCAGAGATCACTGTGGACTCAAACAATGGTGGATCTGGACCAAACTCTACACGAATACTCAATATGCCCAAATGTGAACACTGGTGGAGTTTGGGGAAAATAGAATCTTGACATTTGGGAGTGGTAGTTGCTGGGATTTATAGTTCACCTACAATCAAAGAGCATTCTGAACCCCACCAACGATAGAATTGGGCCAAACCTCCCACACAGAACTCCCATGTTCACCAAAGTGGGCTGCAGCAACGCATGGCAGGGGACAGCTAGTACAAAATAAACTATTAAAATACTGTATTGGATCATGCAGATCCTTGTGTTACCTTGTCTTGCCCAAGCACCACATATTCCGTAGTTCATGAAGACATTTATATTAATGTGATGGTTTCATGATACTGTACATCAAACTACTTTCATTATGTTTTAGGTTTCCTGGGATTACCCGGTCTTCCGGGACCACCTGGAGCCCCTGGAAGACCAGGCCAAGATGGACCACCTGGGCCACCCGGAATTGCAGGACTGAAGGTCAATAAAGAAGAAGGTTCATTAATTTGGCTTGGGAGGTCATCATGGATTTGATCATATAGTGCCGTAGGGCTCTTCTTGCTGAATCTCTCAAGAACCCAAAACAACTAAATTGAGGCATTTTGGATTTTCTCTTAGCATTTAAGAAAATCTGGGATACTTCTAGAGAACTCTGGGGACAGAAGTTTAGTCCCTTGATTTGCTTACCTTGCAAAATAAAACATGAGAGTCCATCTTTGCAAACAGATTAAAATTATCTAGCATTTAGGAGAAGTAAAAAATTAGTGGTCATTTTGGTTTTGTCGTCTTCTCATAGCTGTCAAGTCTCTTTCACTTCATCAGTGAATTTAAGTTTCAATGAAAACCATGACTTACAACAGTCACCTTGACTCCCATTTTGGGAGTTTGTTATTGTTCATTCGTTCAGTCGTCTCCGACTCTTCGTGACCTCATGGACCAGCCCACGCCAGAGCTCCCTGTTGGCCGTCACCACCCCCAGCTCCTTCAAGGTCAGTCCAGTCACTTCAAGGATGCCATCCATCCATCTTGCCCTTGGTCGGCCCCTCTTCCTTTTGCCTTCCACTTTCCCCAGCATAATTGTCTTCTCTAGGCTTTCCTGTCTCCTCATGATGTGGCCAAAGAACTTCAACTTTGTTTCTAGTATCCTTCCCTCCAATGAGCAGTCGGGCTTTATTTCCTGGAGGATGGACTGGTTGGATCTTCTCGCAGTCCAAGGCACTCTCAGAACTTTCCTCCAACACCACAGCTCAAAAGCATCTCTCTTCCTTCGCTCAGCCTTCCCTCAGGTCCAGCTCTCACATCCGTAGGTGACTACAGGGAATACCATGGCTTTGACTAGGCGGATCTTTGTTGCCAGTCTGATGTCTCTACTCTTCACTATTTTATCGAGACTGGACATTGCTCTCCTCCCAAGAAGGAAGCGTCTTCTGATTTCCTGGCCACAGTCTGCATCTGCAGTCATCTTTGCACCTAGAAATACAAAGTCTGTCACGGCCTCCACATTTTCTCCCTCTATTTTCCAGTTGTCAATCATTCTTGTTGCCATAATCTTGTCAATTTTGGGAGATACATAAGATAAAAAGTCATTAAACAAACTTCCAAATGTATAGCAGCAATCTATAGTTTTGATTCTTTAGATTGTGGCATCAAATTGTGCCATTTTATAAACCGCCCTGAGTTGCCCTCGGGCTGAGAAGGGCAGTATAGAAATATAGTAAATAAATAAAAATAAATAAATAAATTCTTTGCTGCCTCATATCATAAAAAGAAGCTACAACAGACTGCTAAAGTGGAGGAATGAGTTTTACATTTTTTGCTAATTCAAATATCATAATGAATAGAAGCCATGGTTAAGAAAATCTTTATTCAGATGGATCATCTTGTGTTGGTTTGCTTGGCTATGGTATTTAAAATCAGGCTTCCAAAATGAATTCACTATAAGTATAGATATGAGTTGTGTGTTTAGCAGAAACAGAAACAAAGTTCCAAAGGGGTTGTTGTGAGTTTTCTGGGCTGTATGGCCGTGTTCCAGAAGCATTCTCTCCTGACGTTTCACCTGCATCTACGGCAGACATCCTCAGAGGTTGTGAGGTCTGTTGGAAACTAGAAAAATTGGGTTTATATATCTGTGGAATGTCCTGGGTGGGAAAAACAAAAGAGTCTCCCAGGCAGTAAGAAGCCAGTCCTTGTAACTGCTAGGCCACCTATATAAATAAAAATGTAATTTTCATTTGTGGGATTAACATAACTCAAAAACCACTGGACGAATTGACACCAAATTTGGACACAAGACACCCATCAGACCAAGGAGTGACCATCACTCATAAAAGCACTGAAAAACAAAGCAGAAGGGACTTAAAAAGCCAAAATAATATACACTAACGCATGCACAAAACCACACACTCGCATATATATGCAAACACACATATTTACACATATAGACAAATAGATACATACATATATACACACAAAACACATATACACAGACTGGGTCACAGCAATGCGTGGCAGGGGACAGCTAGTTTAATAATAACAACTTTATTTATAACCTGCCACTATCTCCCCAAAGGGGACTCGGGGTGGCTAACATGAGGCCAAGCCCAAAAATAATACGACACAATTACACACAATTCAATGCTAATCAAGGTGGCCAACTGAAACATTCACACCTATTTCAGACAAGACTTCTTTCTCCCACCCTGGACATTCCACAGATATATAAACCTCATTTTCCTAGTTTCCAACAAACCTCACAACCTCTGAGGATACGTGCCATAGATGCATGTGAAACATCAGGAGAGAATGCTTCTGGAATATGACCATACAGCTCGGAAAACTCTGAACAACTCCTTCGAAACTTTGTTTCTGTGTTCCTGCTAAACACACAACCCATAATTTTATACTTATAGTGAATTCATTTACTGTCCTGATTTTAGATTTTTTTAATGCTGACAGCCAGCCAGGCTTTGGAGCTGCAAGACCATTTGATGCTAATCAAGCTGGCCAGTTGCAACATTCACAGACAAGAGTTCTTTCTCCCACTCTGGACATTCCACAGATATTTAAATCCCATTTTCCTAGTTTCCAACAAACCTCACAACCTCTGAGGATGCCTGCCATAGATGCAGGCAAAATGTCAGGAGAGAATGCTTCTGGAACATGACCATACAGCCTGGAAAACTCACAACAACCCAGTGATTCCAGCCATGAAAGTCTTCAACAATACAAAGTTTCAAAGTATCTCTTGCCTTGGCTTATCCATCTTTGTTTGTATGTTTGTTTGTTTGTTTGTTTTAGGGGGATCGTGGCTTTGGTGTCCCAGGGCCAGCTGGACCCCCCGGACAGCCAGGTCTTAAAGGGGCGCAGGGTCCTAGAGGTGATCCTGGGTTTCCAGGGAGCTCTGGGATCCCAGGACGCACAGGTTTTGATGGAACTCCAGGTCCTAAAGGTATGGCACTGATATTTAATAGTACCAGTCAGCATAAATAATACTGAGTTACTTTGTAGAAAGCATCTACCTTCATTTGCACTCTGATGAGTATTTGCTGATGGGTATTTACTAAAGCAGATTGGCTCAATGTAAACTATAGTTTTTTAAGTATAAATGCTTTGGTGTGCTGGTTGAACTAGTTTATGCTTGACCGAAGTGTGCCAGAAATCAGAACTATACTTGGAAGCAGCTTTGAAGACCATTATTTAGGTTCGTTGTGATCTTGCATGATATCTGCGTTGATATGTCACATTTAGTGGCGACTCTGGAAGGAAAATAACAAGAGGTCAGAAAAGGCGTGTAGCTTGGACCTTGGTTTACCTGATGGTTTCAGACTCAAGCCAAGATTTTTATTCTAAAATATGACTAGCAGAAACTATGTTTTGGTGTTTTATCTAAGGTGAAGCCACCAGTGTTTTGTACCTATTACGTTGCACATCAAAATATTTATTATTTATTTGTTTGTTTACGCCAATTATATGCCGCCCTTCTCACCATGAAGGGGACACAGAGTGGCTTACAAGATATATATACAAACAATATATTATATTATTAGCATAGTAAAATTCTGTATTATATATTACTATATTGTACTAGGCTTGGGCAATCCATGGTTCTAAATGGTTCTAAAGTACTTACAAAACTAAAGTTCTGGTGGTGAAAATTTCAGAACTCTAACAAAACTTTCAAAATTTAATTATTATTTCATTATTGGTGATTTTAATGACAGAACCAATTAGGAACTGCCATTTATTATGAAATTTTGAGAGTTTTGTTAGAGTTCTGAAATTTTCACCACCAGAACTTTAGTTTTGTAAGTACTTTAGAACCATTTAGAACCATGGATTGCCCAAGCCTGATAGATAGATAGATAGATAGATAGATAGATAGATATAATTAAGATAGATACTTATAATATATTATTAGTAGTATTTATATTGTATTACATTATAATATTTTAAATATTATATGTATATACATTATATTATATTATATTATATTATATTATATTATATTATATTATATTATATTATATTATTAGCATAGCACAGAAGACAAGGTGGAACTGTCCCCTGGCCCCCTCTCTCTTCACTCTGGCCCAGAGCTGCAGTTGGTGCTGTGGGGAGGAGTCCCCAAATGATGACATATGCAGGAGACAAAGTGGCCCCCTCTCTCTTCGCTTTGGCCCAGAGCTGCAGTTGGTGCTGGGGGGAGAGGCCCCAACTGATGACATATGCAGGAGACAAGGTGGACCTGTCTCCTGCCTCCCCACCTTCAGTCCACGCCAGTTGTCTGCATTTCCAAAGAACTGCATATTTAGTTAGTCCCAGCTTCTGCCAACCTAGCATTTGAAAACATGCAAGTATGAGTAGATCAATAGGTACCACTTCTACGGGAAGGTAATGGTGCTCCATGCAGTCATGCTGGCCACATGACCGTGGAGGCATCTATGGACAACGCCGGCTCTTCGGCTTAGATATAGAGATGAGCACCAGCCCCCAGGATCAAACATGACTAGACTAAATGTCAGGAGAACCACAAAGTTACTTTATTACAACTTGCTTTCTAGGTGATCCTGGGCCCCGTGGCCAGCCAGGGTTGGTAGGATCTCCAGGCTTCCCAGGAATCGGTGGACAAGGCCCACCGGGTGCACCAGGACCTCCAGGACCTGTGGGTCCCCCAGGTGAGAGAACTGCTTCGCAAATGGTGTGATCCAAAGAGAGCGCAACTCAAACAAATTTGGAGGAACCATACATCCTTGTGTCTTCTTGCATTGCCTTCCAAGAGCAGGAGGGCTAGGGAACATTAGACTTGGAGGGCAACACTGTACACTGCCCCCAAACACCCCTAAATTATATGTATTTTGTCCCCAAATGTCTCACAACACCCTCTAGACTTCTGTGGGTTCATATTTACCATCTTTCTTGTCTTAACACTGGACCGTTTAAGCCCTAGATATATCTGTTTTTTTCCAAAAGTAGAAATGAATAGAAGTAACTTCTATTTGTGTTCTGTTTTTTTAAAAAATAAGCCATATTTGTGGAGATTGTTTTGTTTCCAGAAGTTACCAAATCTATCTAAAATTGTGTACTGGAATTGAAAGAAATGTAATAATAATAATAATAATAATAATAATAATAATAATAATAATAATAATAATAATGAAGATTGAACTGCAAAGACTCTGGCACAAGCCAGTCAAGGTGGTCCCAGTGGTGATCGGCATACTGGGTGCAGTGCCTAAAGACCTTGGCCTGCACTTAAACACAATCAGCGCTGACAAAATGACCAGAAGGCCACCTTACTGGGATCTGCATGCATTATTCTCCAATACATCACACAGTCCTAGGCACTTGGGAAGTGTCCGACGTGTGATCCAATTCAACAGCCAGCAGAGTGTCTGCTGTGGACTCATCTTGTTGTGTTTCAAATAATAATAATCTTTATTTATACCCCGCCACCATCTCCCCAAAGGGGACTTGGAGCGGCTTACATGAGGCCGAGCCTGACAGTACATTACAGCAAAATAAAATACAGATCAACAAGAAATAACATCACAATGAAATAAATAAAACATTCAAGTAATAAACAATGCAAAATAACATAACAAAAACCGAACAGAGGATATGGTATTGGATTTGGTACCTTTTGGAAACAAACTCCACATTTTGGGACTATAACATCCTGGGGAAATGCTTGCTAGAGAGTATTGGAAAGGCAAAAAAATCCTGCTCCTGGATTTTTCTCAGAAGCTATTTGTGAGAAGTTATACACCTGGGACTCTGCTTTTTGGGGAGATTGGGAGATTTGTGGTCGCATTTATCCATTATGGTAGTACTGCTCTTTTTAGGCTATGCCTTTCTTGGGAATCATTGCAGCACTGCATGCCACAGGGAGTTCACACCAGAAGTATTGCTGCAAAAACCTTAGTCAGAAGCACGTCAATCCCTCATGTTCATAAGAAAGTCCTTTGAGCTTTCCCTCACATTCAGTTAAGTCATAAATCCATGCGGAAATTAACCACTATGCAAATATTTTCTTATGATGCTCGGCACAATTTCATTCCAAGCCACCTTGAGAATGCCTTGTGGCTCTTGGCATGCATATTTCCTTAGCTGTAATGGATGGTCACAAACCACTTTTGGGTGTCAACATTGTGTGAAAATGGCAAATTCTGTCCCTTGGGTATTTGAAGAAACTCCATATCTCAGGATTGGAACTTTCCTGTTCAACGTCTTAGATGAAGTCTAAGAAGGCATGATCATCAGGTTTACAGATGACACCAACTTGGGAGGGAGAGTCAATACTCCAGAAGACAAGAGCAGAATTCAAAATGATCTTAACAAATTGGAGAGATGGGCCAAAACTAACAAAATGAAGTTCAACGGGGACAAATGCAAGATACTCCACTTAGGCACAAAAAAATGAAAGGCAAAGATACAGAATGGGGGACACATGGCTCGAGAGCAGTACGTGTGAAAAAGATCTTGGAGTCCTCATGGACAACAAGTTGAACGTGAGCCAACAATGTGATGCAGCGGCAAAAAAAGCCAATGGGATTTTGGCCTGCATCAATAGGAGTCTAGTGTCTAGATCTAGGGAAGTCATGCTACCCATGCTCTATTCTGCCTTGGTTAGACCACACCTGGAATATTGTGTCCAATTCTGGGCACCACAATTGAAGAGAGATATTTACAAGCTGGAATGTGTCCAGAGGAGGGCGACTAAAATGATCAAGGGTCTGGAGAACAAGCCCTATGAGGAGCGGCTTAAGGAGCTGGGCATGTTTAGCCTGAAGAAGAGAAGGCTGAGAGGAGACATGATAGCCATGGATAAATATGTGAGAGGAAGCCACAGGGAGGAGGGAGCAAGCTTGTTTTCTGCTGCCCTGGAGACTAGGATGCGGAACAATGGCTTCAAACTACAAGAAAGGAGATTCCATCTGAACATGAGGAAGAACTTCCTGACTGTGAGAGACGTTCAGCAGTGGAACTCTCTGCCCCGGAGTGTGGTGGAGGCTCCTTCTTTGGAAGCTTTTAAACAGAGGCTGGATGGCCATCTGTCAGGGGTGTTTTGAATGCAATTTTTCTGCTTCTTGGCAGGGGGTTGGACTGGATGGCCCATGAGGTCCCTTCCAACTCTATGATTCTATGGCCATAACCATGTTGCAAAACACATCAAGACTGGGATGTGTAGTCCAGTAGCCCAAGCTGTAAAGCTTTCACCAGATACTTCAGATCCCCCAAACTGAATTTTGTAGTCCTTGCTTTTGGACTGGGATTGGACCTGTCAGGGTTTAATCTCATTTATTGCCCTTTCCACATGATACGTAGGAGTATCTCCAGCAAATATCTGCATGTGACACATTTTTTACTTAATGCACTTTTACTCAAGTGCTGGAATGTCCACATCATGTTGACTGCTGATGAGTCTTTCATTTCCCCCTTCACTCCATTCATTTGAAACAATCCATATGGTTCAGTCTTTGTTGTTGTTCCATCATTTCACCTGCATGGCTGAAGCTTATACTAACCAAACAGCATTAATAGTCTTTGCTTGTTACTGTTGGCTTTCTTCAAATGTCACAAACTTTCCTTCTTCTCCTATTTTTCTTTGTTTCCTTAGCCATTATTTGAGATAACAATGATAAGATTCTTTGTTATTGTGCAATTCGAAACCTTTTGGTTTGCATTTTCCTTTGGGGTTGTCATTATTGATTCAGATACTGTCACCAAAGACATGGGAGGATAATTCCACCAATAAATAAGTCACAACGGGAAAGTAGAAAAGACAATACTTTGGTTAAATTCTGTAATCCAGAAGCATCCAAATTTATTTATTTATTTATTTACGACATTTACGTTTCTATTGGAATTTTTGTGGAATTGGTTTTTTCCAGATATGATAGTGACCAGCCATTGGAAAATGTTTCAGTCAAGTCTACTTGGAAGTTCAATGTTCTAGATGTTGTGTACCTTGGTATTGTGCTTGGGTTAGATAACTGGCAATATCCACAACCTATTTATTTGCTGGGTGATCTGTGAATCTGATGGGTTGTGGATTGAAACCATGATGTAGCTTTTCTGTCTAACATTGATGTGCTTCCTTTTGTATCCTAACCTTAACGGCATTCTCCCAACTCCCTCCTTCTGCCTGTGCCTCAACTTCCTGATGAGTTCTTACCATGATGGCTTTTCATCTTCTCAGGCCCACCAGGTACTATGGTTTCCTTGGTCCACCTCTTTTCCCCTTCTCATACATGTACTGATTTTCTTTCCATTCAAAATGCACTTAGTTCTACTTATTTGTTTATTTATTGTGGAAAAACTGGCATAAATCTAGCTTCACATAGTCCTACATGTGACGAAATGAAAATCAAGTGCGCTTCAGGACATGTTGAATAGGAAAACAATCATTTTATTGGAGATAATTAAAAAGCAGCAAAGTAAAAAGCACTATAAAGAAATAGGTAAATCCAATTAGGTAAGAAGATAAGCAGGAACAAAAAAAAGTCCACACTTCTCTAATATAATCCAGAAAACCAGGAAACATTAATCCAAGGCATGAGTATGCAATCATAAAATCCAAGAGTCAAAACCATGAAACAAGAAATATTTAAGCATGAATCTCTAAGCAAGGCTTCAATGAAACAAGACAAGAACTTAACTTGATTCCAAAGATTCTTCATCTGGTTACATTTCCCGTACTTGGGAATTTTATGCCCTCGTTGAGCTACTACTCAGAAATTGGTTTCGCTTTAATTGAGATTCCCTTATCTTTTTCTGTTGGAGCCGGGCAGAACGCCGAAGGCACTGTTCGGCTTGTCTGTTTTGACTAATCTCCTGCCATCTATCTATTTGCTCCTTGACTTCTGCAGGTGTTGAGTTGTTTTCAACCCCCAAATTCTGGGAACTCTCTGGTAGCAATTCAGGGAGTACACCATCATCCCCACACCCTTCAGGGACATTCTCATGGGAAACTACACTTTGAACAGGGATCTCTTGGTCATTCTCTGCATCAGTATCATTGGCCAAACCATTGCCATCTTGAAACTCATTGACTCATCCACACACTGCCTTGCCAGATAAAGAATATATGTCACACTGATGAACAGTAAATAACAAGTAGTTTACTCTTCATAGTTCAGAACAGCATATGCACAATCATGTGGTCAGTCGAATAAACTCACATAATGTTCTTTTAGAGAGATTTAAAATTATCTTTCTTTGTCCATGTAGATAATCTCCTTCAGAAGCTCATGAAGCAAGAGCACACTCCAAACTGTGTCTGTCTCTGCTTCTTTCCAAGCACCTGCATAGCTCAAGCCAGAAAAATGTAACAGTATCCAAAAGTCCCAGCCTCAGCCAATTCCCCGGCCATGGCCCAACCAATCAGCTTCATGCGTCTTATTTTGCAGTTGACACACACACACGTTAACTGATTTCTTATATGCTCCAACACTATAGTAGTAATGCAATGGGACTTCCTTCTACTTCTCTTCTCTTTGCTCTCAACACCAATCCCAAAAAACTGGCTTTAGAGTGTTTGTTAGCCACATGTTCTCCACCCTTGGCAGAACCAATTTTGGAAATACATGGCGAGTTGCAAGAAGTTGGGAGGATTGTTCTCCTATTCTTTCCATTGGGTTGTACTCGTCTGTTAATGGAGATTTAGTGTTAGGTACTACCCAGTAGTTGGAAAGGAGTCTCTAAGCCACCTTCTGGAACAGGGTTGAGAAAACTTGGGTTGTTTAGGAATATAACTCATGCAGTCTCTTGTCTTTGACCATGCTGGGTAGAGTTATAGACCGGAATACCTGGAAGGCCAGAGTTTCCTGTGCTGTATAAGTCTACTTCATAGGGCACAGAACAATGGCTTCAAACTACAGGAAAGGAGATTCCACCTAAACTTGAGGAAGAACTTCCTAATTGTGAGAGTTGTTCAGCAGTGGAACGCTCTGCCTCAGACTGTGGTGGAGGCTCCTTCTCTGGAGGCTTTTAAGCAGAGGCTAGATGGCCATCTGTTGGGGGTGCTTTGAATGTGATTTTCCTGCTTCTTGGAAGGGGGTTGGACTGGATAGCCCATGAGGTCTCTTCCAACTCTATGATTCTATGTGTATCCTGAGGGTAGGTTTGGGGGTCAAAATGATACATTTTGATATAACACATGGTTAGGCTGAGGGTCATTGTGTGGAGAGGGTCATTATGGGGCTATCGCCATTTCCCTGAAAGATCCAGACTCATCACTGTGATAGAAAGAGTTAGAGGGGTCATTACTTATTCTGTTGGGATCGATTAAGCTCTTGTCTTTCACAACTCTACTCTACTGATAAGAGTTAAAATACAATACTCACATTGACCCATTGTCAACCCAATTTTTTGGGATTAATTTTTTGACTAAAATGTTTAGACTTACATGTCAGTATATCCAGTACTAATCAAGCTTTAGATATAAATAAAGAACTTGAACTCTACTTTTTTATCTTGGGGGAAAACACTTCTGTAGGCACTTCAAGATCCTCCATGGTCAGCTTCCACATCTGCTCACCTGGAGCAGCTTTGGCAACCGTTTTGTTCAGGTCCCAGTTTCTTCATGTTTGGAGTCCTGTGAAATATGTGGTTTTCAGTGATCTGCTCAGTTTTGGTTGAACTAAGTCCAAGTGGGTAACAAATCAACTTGACCATCTCATAAGACTGATGCTACACATAATTCCATCTGTGATGCAGTTTGCCATCATTCTAGTGCTTCTTCTATAAATGCTTTCACTAAAGGACTGTGTTTGATAACATTGTCCAGGATTACAAGGCATACCAGGAGAAAAAGGAGACCCAGGTCCACCAGGGTTCGACGTTCCTGGTCCTCCAGGTGACAGAGGCAGCCCAGGTTTCCCCGGATCACCTGGTCTCCCAGGGCCCCCAGGTCCATCTGGGCCACCTGGACGAGATGGAATTCCAGGATTCCAAGGTAAAATTGTTTTGGGCTTTTATAAGTGTTGGAAACTGATAGTTTCGTATGACTTCAGACAAGGGTTTGCATCTGATTCAGTGGGAATGGTTTAAATGTATCTCAGATTTTCTTCTGAAGAACTTGACTGTGGCCAAATATCACTGATTATTCTCCAAGGCAAGGTGCAATGTGTTTCCATCCAAAGTGCTTTGACCTAGATTTGCAGGAGTCCCATACAAGGCGATACTTTTATTTATTTATTTACTCTCTCTCTCTCTCTATATATATATATATATACACACACACACACACACACACACAATATTTATTTATAATAAATTTATTTATTTATTTATTTGCTATATATGCTTTGCCCTTTTAAAAACCAGGATGTTGAATGCATGCATCACATCTTATTGTCCTGCAGTGTTTACATGCAGGTTCAGATACATATTATTAACCCACTACTTTAAAAACCTACCTGGTAGATCAGCCCAATTCCAGGTGAAGTTTTTGCTAGGTGACAATTTCCCCCATATGATCTTGTCTGTTGCCAAGTTTCTCTCTGAGGTAGCCAGGATAAGACAACTTCCTGTATCGGATTCGAGTTGAAACTTGCCTTGTATATATTTTCAGTGTTTTTACCCTTGTTTGTGTGCATCTGCCATTGCACTTGCCCTGCATTTAAGTGGTCTTATTAGTTTATCAATCTGTTGGCAGTTGTGCACTTTTTACCACTGAGAGAATTGGGTCTTTGGACCATAATAAAGTTTTCAGTATTCAAATCCACTATATATATGTGATATATATATGGGGTGGGGAGAGTTCATGGAAAAGTACAATAATGGTTTTCATTGTATTCTACCTGTAAAAACCCCTCAAATCTAAAGCATTAATAATGGAAAGTGATAGATCTGTTTGACCAAGCATATATTGGGACCAGACCTACTAAGGCTTTCCAGTCCTTTCTGTTAGGCATGACAGTCAGTCCTTGGGTCATCTTCACTAGCAAGTAAAGTAATTAACAGCACATAGACAGGGTCAGGCAATAGCACAGCTGGTAAATCTCCACCAGCAGCAATAAGATCTACCAACTGAAAGCTTGCCAGTTCAAAACCTGGATCAGAGTGAGCATTTGACTGTCACTGTTTACCTAAGCAATTCAAAAACAGCTTAGAGCTGTAAGTAGAGAAATTAGGTACTTCTAAAAAGTGGGGGAGGCATTTTACGACACCAAAAAAGAGAAAGACCAGAAAATGCCAGTGACCAAACTGAAGGAGGAAGTCCTAATGGCTCTTTGTCATAGAGGCTGGAGCAACAGCACCTCCCTGTGGCTGGATTTGAGCACAACCTCCAAGATGCTGAAAAGCTGAATGTTGACACAACATACCTCCTTTCTGTCTGTTCTGTCCTGTCTATCCAAACGGCATTGAATGTTTACCGCATATGTGTACTGTGATCCATGTATACATAGATATCTGCGGCTTTATACTGTGATCCACCCTAAGTCCCCTTGGGTGGAATATAAATCTATTATTATTATTATTATTATTATTATTATTATTATTATTATTATAGCTTATGATAACATTATCATTTTTAATGTTTTGATTGCAGGTGAGTTGTTTTAGCACTACATTTCTAGCGGGTTCCAGTTTGTCACCATAATCTTATGAGATGGAAGGCAGTCCAAAGATTTTAGGGGGAGATAGATTCAGAATAAAATTGTGATCCTATTCCTTTAGGTGGCAAAGGCGAGATGGGTGTGATGGGGGCACCTGGACCACCAGGTTCTCCTGGAACCCCTGGAAGGAGTGGTCTTCCCGGTCTAAAAGGTAAGCTCTATGTTGCTGTCTGTTTTCGTGGTGGTGGATTTAATGCAACTTTGGGGTATTTGTCATGGGGATGTATACATGGATACATGTTGCTGACCATTGGAAGATTCTGAAATCTCAAGTATGCTATAAACAGAAGAGGTAGACTATCCACTTTGCTCTGCAGGTACTTTGGTTGCAACGTTTGAGTGGAATTGACTCTTCCTTAGTCAGTCTTTAGTTCACAAATCACTGTTAGGCATACGTTATGTTGTGTGTATGTGTGTGATATTGTGGACCACCCTAACCCATTTGAAGAAGCGTGCAGTAACGAACAGTGTTTTAGGCATTGCACTTTTTGAATTTTTTGAATAAGACCAGTCCCTTGACAATGCTAAGGATTTTTTTTCATGTCAGGAGCGACTTGAGAGATTGCAAGTCGCTTCTGGTATGATAGAATTGACCGTCTGCAAGGACGCTGTTCCAGGGTAGGCCCAGATGTTTTTGATGTTTGACCATCCTTGTGGGAGTCTTCTCTCGTGTCCCTGCATGGGGAGCTGAAGCTGACAGAGGGAGCTCATCCATGCTCACCCCAGATTTGAACTTCCGACCTGTCAGTCTTCAGTCCTGCCGGCCCAAGGGTTTAACCCATTACTTCACCGGGAGTTCCTACATCATGCTAAGGATGTCAACGTCGAATGCCATTCCTTTCCTTGTGGATTGTGTATTTTATAGAAATATGTTTTCATATATGCGTTTTATGGAATGTATTTTAGCATTGCGATGTATTTTAACTATGTTGTGCCCTGCCTTGAGCTGTAAAGGAAGACAAGTAAATAAATTATTACTGCATAGTATTGGCACAGTAGTCTGAATCCGTGACACGTTCTTTGCCTTTGGCTACCTCTTAGGCAATGATGGCTTACCTGGCCCAATGGGCCGCACTGGATCCATGGGGCAAAAAGGCAGCAAAGGGGAGGCAGGTCTTCCTGGACTTCCAGGAAAAGTCGATCTAGACCGGTTGGGCTCCAAAGGAGAAAAAGGAGAGCCAGGAACTCCAGGTGAGCAACCCTTATTTTCCCCTGACATAATAGAGATTTATTTTCAGGGCTATTATTTAACCTCAGCTTGTAATATGGGAAACCTTTTTGGGTGCATATGTTCCCGTTTCCCTTTGTTTCTTGCTGAGATTTCCTTCACTGTGGATATACCAACCTCTTAATGCAGGAAATACATCCTCTAGTGCATTTCCATTTGACCATGTACCTGGATATAAATAGAAGTCATTTTCTTTTTTTCTTGAAGGTATGCCTGGCCCAACGGGGCTGAAGGGCTATCAAGGCATCCCAGGCGACCCAGGCCCTCCTGGACTAGTTGGGCAGCCAGGAACACCGGGACTTTCAGGTGAGGAATCAAAATGCTGACATGCGTATGCATGGGTATAACTCAGGTAACAAAATAATAGTAATAATAATAATAATAAGTCGACAATAAATCCCAAATGTAGACTCTGCAAGGAAGCAGATGAAACAATAGATCACAACCTCAGTTGCTGTAAGAAGATTGCGCAGACAGACTACAAGCAGAGGCATAACATCTGTAAAGTGGCATCAAACTGTATTAATTCTACAGAGTAGATGTCCTTATAGGCAGCCCTCTTGCAAGAAAGCTTGAGATGGAAAATAATGATGTTTTTAATAGAGATCTAGGCCAGATACTGCAGTTGTAAGAGTCTATGTCAAGCATGGGCAAACTTTGGCCCTCCAGGTGTTTTGGACTCCAACTCCCACAATTCCTAACAGCCTACTGGCTGTTAGGAATTGTGGGAGTTGAAGTCCAAAACACCTGGAGGGCCAAAGTTTGTCCATGCCTGGTCTAAGTCATCTTCCTGTGAATTCGGATGCTTGAAAGCTAATGGTGTAATAACTCTGACTATATGAGCATTTGCTGTTAGAAATGAGTGTTTACTATCAATCTATGTTTTCTTTAGGTCCTAAAGGCGATCGAGGATTATCTGGGCCCCCTGGACCAACCGGCCCCCCGGGACAGAAAGGTTCCAGTGGCGAAATGGGTCTTCCAGGTAGGATAGGATGGGTTTTCACCCTGATTTGTTGTTGAGACGAATTTTGTGGTGGGAAATTTTGTACTGATATTCTTATAGGAGCCAGTGGTGGAACTCAAATTTATCTCATGCAAGTCCTTAATAAGTTTCATTAGAAATATTTCATATCAATCAATTCAGAATATATCTAAACTATACATTTGTAGTAGTTAAAGGTTTTTGAATATTTACATAAAACTGGAATTTAAGATAAGAGTGTCCAACTCTAATTAAACCATTGTTCTAACCTTCCTCAATGTCAATGTGCTTACATATCCTTCCAATAATAATCAAGAGAAAAAATTATAAATGTCATAAAAATAATAATAATAATACAGTAAAATAATGAAAATGTAATAATAAAAACAATAATAGAGTAAAATAATAAATGCAATAATAATAATAATAAAGTAAAATAATAAATGTAACAATAATAAATAGAGTAAAAGCATCAATGTAATAATAATAATAATAATAAATAGAGTAAAATAACAAATTTAATAAATTTATTTATTTATTTATTACTGCGCTTGTATACCGCCGTTTCTCAGCCTACATTGGCGACTCAACGCGGTTTACAACATTACAATAATCAACAAGATAAAAATCATAAAAAAGCATAAAAACACATACATAATATACAATATTGGGCCACCAATATCGAACCAATGCATCTCTTAGTTCAAAACGCAGTCCAATTTCATCGTCTGTGATTACCAGTCCTTGATCGTCAGATTCGTTGCACCGTGTTAACCGAATGCTTGTTCGAACATCCATGTCTTCAGTCTTTTTCGAAACGCCACCAGCGAGGGGGCTGATCTTACCTCTATGGGGAGGGCGTTCCAAAGCCGAGGGGCTACCACAGAAAAGGCCCTGTCTCTCGTCCCCACCAGCCGCACCTGTGAAGCAGGCGGGATAGAGAGCAGGGCCTCCCCAGAAGATCTTAGGGTCCTGGTGGGCTGATAGGCCGAGATACGTTCGGATAGATAAGTTGGGCCAGAACCGTTTAGGGCTTTAAAGGCCAACGCCAGCACTTTGAATTGAGTCCGGTAGCAAATCGGCAGCCAGTGGAGCTGTGCAGCAGAGGAGTTGTATGCTCCCTGTGCTCCGCTCCTGTTAGTATCATGGCTGCCAAGCGTTGGACTAATTGGAGCTTCCGAGCCGTCTTCAAAGGCAACCCCACGTAGAGAGCGTTGCAGTAGTCTAAGTGGGATGTAACCAGAGCGTGGACTACCGTGGCCAAGTCAGACTTCCCAAGGTACGGCGCAGTTGGCGCACAAGTTTTAACTGTGCGAATGCTCCCCTGGTCACCGCCGAAACCTGGGGTTCCAGGCTCAGCGATGAGTCCAGGATCACACCCAAACTGCGAACCTGCGTCTTCAGGGGGAGTGCGACCCCGTCTAACACAGGCTGTAACCCTATACCCTGTTTGGCCTTGCGACTAACCAGGAGTACCTCTGTCTTGTCTGGATTCAATTTCAATTTGTTCGCCCCCATCCAGACCGTCACAGCGGCCAAGCACCGGTTCAGGACCTCGACAGCCTCCTTAGTAGCAGGTGGAAAGGAGTGACAGAGTTGGACATCATCTGCGTACAGATAACACCGTACCCCGAAACTCCGGATGATCTCTCCCAACGGCTTCATGTAGATGTTAAACAACATGGGAGACAGTATTGAGCCCTGAGGAACCCCACAAGACAAAGGTTGTGGGGTTGAACAGGTGTCCCCCAGTAACACCTTCTGAGACCGGCCCTCTAGGAATGACCGGAGCCACTGCAAAACAGTACCTCCAAGACCCATCCCCGCGAGGCGTCCCAGAAGGATACCGTGGTCGACGGTATCGAAGGCCGCTGAGAGGTCCAGCAGCACCAACAGGGACACACTCCCCCTGTCGAGCTCCCGGCGCAGATCATCCACTAAGGCGACCAAGGCTGTCTCGGTACCATGCCCCGGCCTAAAGCCAGACTGTGCCGGATCCAGATAATCCGTGTCGACCAAGAATGCCTGGAGTTGTGAGGCCACCACACGTTCCATGACTTTGCCCAAAAAGGGGAGATTGGAAACAGGCCGATAGTTGACGAATTGAGTGGGGTCCAGTGATGGTTTTTTCAACAGCGGTTTTATCACAGCTTGCTTTAAGCTGGCTGGAATTTTGCCTTCCCGAAGGGAGGCATTAACCACCACCTTCACCCACTCGGCCAATCCCCCTCTGGCCTCCTTCAGAAGCCAGGATGGGCAGGGGTCTAGGATGCATGTGGTAGCTCTCATTCCTCCAAGCACCTTGTCCACATCCTCGGATTGAACCAATTGAAATGAATCCATCAAAATTGGACAAGCAGATGCTCGTGTTACATCCTCAGAGACTGCCGTTAATATGGTATCCAGTCCAGAGCGGATCAAAGCGACTTTGTCTGCAAAGAACTGAGCAAAAGCTTCACAGCGAGCTGCCGAGTCATCAGGGCACCCATCCTGAGTGGTGGGTTTTAACAGGCCTCTGACAACTCCGAAACAACTCAGCCGGACGGTTCTTTGCAGACGCAATAGTGGCCGCAAAGAACGCCTTCTTTGCGGCTTTTATTGCCGCGGCATATGCCCTCAGAAAGGACACAAACCGTGTTCGATTTGGCTCGCTCGGATCCGAACGCCACACACTCTCTAGTTCCCTCTTCTTTCGCTTCAACGCTGCCAGCTCCTCGGTGAACCAAGGAGCTGGTTTAGCTCGGCTACTTGAGAGGGGACGTTCTGGAGCGATCGTGTCTATTGCCCTAGTCATCTCCCCATTCCAGAGAGCGACCAGAGCATCAACAGGATCACCAACCGAGGTGGCGGGAAATTCCCCAAGAGCCGTCAGGAATCCATCCGGATCCATAAGCCTCCTGGGGCGGACCAGTTTAATGGGTCCTCCACCTCTGCGGAGGTTAGGGGGTGCAGTGAGTCTAAAGCTGACCAGTGGTGGTCGGTCCATGGCAACGGAGAGATGGATAACTCCTCAACACCGCCACCTTCCTCCCATCCCTGGCAGAAAACCAAGTCCAATGTATGTCCAGCACTGTGGGTGGGGCCAGATACCTGTTGGGACAGCCCCAAGGTTGCCATGGTAGACATGAAGTCCTGAGCCGCTCCCGATAAGGTAGTCTCGGCATGGACATTGAAGTCCCCCAGCACAAGCAGCCGTTGGGACTCCAATGCCAGGTCCAAGACCACCCCCGCTAGCTCAGGCAGGGAGACTGTAGTGCAGCGAGGTGGACGGTACACTAACAGAATCCCTAATCTGTCCCGGTCACCCACCCTCAGGTGGACGCATTCAAAATTTGTTGACTGCGGGATGGGGGCCCTGGTCAGAAGAATGGAATCTCTATAGACCACTGCAACTCCGCCTCCCCGCCCTCTGGATCTCGGTTGGTGCTGCACAGAGAAACCTGGTGGGCAAAGCTGGGTTAGATTTACACCTCCCGCTTCGTCCAACCAGGTCTCTGTGATGCACGCCAGATCTGCCCGTTCATCCAGGATTAAGTCCTGGATGAAGGTTGTTTTACCATTGACAGATCTGGCGTTCAACAGCACCACTTTCAATTCGGAGGGACCGCCATCCTGGTTACACCAACTTGTCATATCAGGAGACCGACTTGGAATTACTAATGTTGTTCCACGTTCCCTAGGCCGAATTAGAGGTCTCCTTTTCCCGTATCTCCCCCTCCCCACCACGACTTCTATGGGGGCTCCCCGGTTAACGGAAGAATAAAATAATGTAAATGTAATAGTAGCAATAGTAATAGAGTAAAAATTATAAATGTAATAGTAATAATAAATAGAATAAAATAATAAATGTAATAATAAATAGAGTAAAATAATAAGTATAATAATAACAATAATAATAGAATAAAATAATAAGTTTAATAATAAATAGAGTAGAATAAGAAATGTAATATTGATAATAATAAATAGAGTAAAATAATAAGTGTAATAATAATCGTAATAGAGTAAAATAGTAAATAACTTTGGCTTGAGTCTAAGCCGAGAGGGGCTTTTTCAGCCTTAAAAAGACCTGAAAAACTCGACTTATACTCGAGTATATACAGTATGTGGTGTGAAAGGGGTAAAGCTAGTCTCCCATTGCAAGCCTTCCCAGTTTTATGTTGACCTTCTTGCCAATTTGAACCTTCTGCAAAGCTTTGTTGTTACATGTTGGGCAGGTCCTTCTGGTGCAAAAGGTTTGCAAGGCATCGCAGGACGTCCCGGGCAGCCTGGTTCTCCTGGACTTACCGGACTGAAGGGAGAAAAAGGCAACCCTGGATTTTCAGACATCGGTATTCCAGGTCCTCCGGGTCCAAAGGTATGTTACAAGAATGTTGCCTTTTTCCAAGTGGATTTTATCAGTGTCCTATATAAAGCTCTTTGCCTCTTGCTGAGTAAACAAACAATAAATATTGTAGATATGTATATGAGAGAGATGCCCCTCACTTATTCAACAGGTCTCATTTATGACACCATAAAAATCTCCAGCAAGCATGCAAAGAATGAGGAAGTACTTCATCAGTAAATAAAATAAATATTGTAGATATGTACGAGAGAGAGGTGACCCTCACATATTTAACAGGTCTCATTTATGAAACCATAAAAATCTCCAGAAAGCATGCAAAGAATGAGGAAGTACTTCATCAGTGTCACAAACGGTGAAGCAACAGCTCCCCTGGTGGCTAGAATACCCTCATGAAAAAGCTGGAATGTTCAATAGCCTCTGTGTGTCTGTCTATATATGCTGTGTGTCTGTGGCATTGAATGTTTGCCATGTATATGTACATTGTAATCCACCCTGAGTCCCCTGCGGGGTGAGAAGAGTGGAATATAAATATAAATGTTGCTTCACTGTCCAGTTGAGACACTGATGGTGTACTTCCTCATTCTTTGTTTGGTTGCTTGCTGGAGATTTTATGGCGTCGTAAATTAATTAAATTAGCCTCCCCACATAAGCATTACCTAAATTTCCTATTTGACAGATGCAACTGTCTTTCGGGCTGCAAAGGTCGAAAGCAAGCTACACACAATGGTCGGAAGCTCACTCTGCCCCGGGGTGGTTTCGAACTCATGACCTTTTGGTCAGTGGTGATCTTAGTGCAGCTGACTCCCAGCCAGCTGCGCCACAGTCCCGGTGTGTACATCTGGTGCCCATTCCCCAATTTGGGACTTTCCATATGACCCAGATACAGGGCCCTGTTTTATGATCCCAAAAGGGACAGTGAGACATCCAACCAGTTTCCGAATCCTCACTTGAGCTACTCCTGCCTCCCTTATCCAATGGCTGCTGGACATACCCTTGTTTTTGACCTGTCCTGTTGCCTTCCAGGGAGACGCAGGGCCGCCTGGCTACCGAGGGAGTCCCGGTGTCAAAGGGACTCCTGGCAACCCTGGTTTACCAGGTTTGTCTGGTAACCCAGGTGCAAAGGGTGAAATGGGCCTCCCCGGCTTCCCAGGTAATTCCTTTCTTGTTTCATTTGACAGTTGTTTCTTCTTGTTTTTCTCCATGCTTTCATGCTTTGGCTTCAGAGTCAGGTAATTCTTCTTCCTTCTTATGGTTGTCTTTTACTGGTAGTCATACAGTGGATTTTGGAATAACATGAATAGAGGGTGAAGTCAAGACATTGTTCAGGGAAATTAAATCTACTTACCTTCTTTCAGTTCCCATCAGTCCTGGCTGGCATGGTATAACGAATCCAACCTGCTGTACCACCAAATTATAACAATGACACCGCTACAGATTTGCTAATCAAAAATATAGAGGGAGAATAGTTGTTGGACCAACTGTCTATTTAACAGTTAGGAACTGGGAACCACTGGAACTGAGAGATTTAATAATGATTCTTTAAAAGGTTTCCGCTGCCACCATATTACTAAAGAACAGGCTGAGGTACTGTTGAGAGGTTGTTCAGTAACACACTCTGTGTTACTCTAGTTTTCTTAGAGACTGGTAAAAAGCAGACTTGAATAACACTTTTACCACAAAGGTATTCACACTGAGGCTGGTATAAGTTGGTAAAAATAACAAGAACTTTTATTGAACAGACTTGGATATTTCAGGTACAAATGCTTGATGGTTTCAGTAAAAATCTGGCATACAAAGCTTGTGGTTATTTGGACTGCCATTCATAAACAAGGTCTATCCTATTTCAATAGTCCCATCTTAGCTGAGTTATGTCTCCTTTGTTTATCCATTCACTTGTTTTTGAAGCTCAAATTCTGTTCTTTCAGGGACGCCAGGTATTCCCGGACCAAAAGGTATCGATGGACCCCCAGGTAACCCAGGTGTGCCAGGATCACCGGGGCTTCCAGGTACGTTTTAAGGGATGTGAGACCTGTCAAACACATGTATTACACAAATGAATAGATTCATTGCAGGACTATTGCATTCTATTTTCACTTGCATGGTCCCATCCTATGGATTTGTAGTTTAGGAAGGGGTGCTTAAAATGCTCAGCAAAAGACCTCCAGTTCCTCTTGAAACTGCAAATTCCAGGATGCATCCATGGCAGTTAAAATGGTTTGATAGCACTATATTTATGGGTTGCTGTGAGTTTTCCGGACTGTCTGGCCATGTTCCAGAAGCATTCTCTCCTGATGTTTTGCCCACATCTATGGCAGGCATCCTCAGAGATTGTGAGGTCTGTTGGAAAGTAAGCAAGTGAGATTTATATATTTTTGGAATGCCCTAGCTGGGAGAAAGTACTTTTCTCTGTTTGAGGTAAGTGTGAATGTTGCAATTGGCCACCTTGCTTAGTATTTAATAGCCTTGCAGCTTCACACTATATTTATGTACGGTTCCGGCCCAGCGTATCTGTCCGAATGCATCTCTATGTCCCGCCTCGGAGTCTAAGATCTTCTGGGGAGGCCCTGCTCTCAGCCCRGCCTCTATCACAAGTGAGACTGGCAGGGACGAGGAGCAGGGCCTTCTCGGTGGTGGTCCCATACCTGTGGAATTCACTCCCCGGGGAAATTAGATCATCGACATCCCTCCTTTCCTTTAGAAGGAAATTAAAAACGTGGATTTGGGGCCAGGCGTTTGGGTAATCTGGCAGATAAATAAAYGACAACGACGACTGATAGGAATGGACAAGGTGGAATGAATTTATGGACTCTGAGTTGGCGAACGTTGAGCATGAGATTGATTTTTTATTGATTGTGAGTTAGAATTGATTGTTTTTAACTGTTARAATTGTTTAATTGCTGTTTATATATGTTTATCTGTATTATTGTGTAGGCATCGAATTGTGCCTTTTGTAAMCCGCCCTGAGTCTCCCCTTGGGGGRTGAGAAGGGCAGGGTAGAAATATGCGAAATAAATATGTAGTGTGAGTGGTTCCAGGTGTCCACTATCACAGATCCAAATGGCACAGGTGGATCTGGGTGGAAGTAGTAGACATATTGTAAACCATGAACATTTAAAGGAGATGTTGCCCGTTCCTTCTGGACAGGTTCTTCAGAGTCCAATAAAAAGGAGGGAATAACCAAACTTCTCAGCACATTTTTCTTTAACATGAATGGTGACAATTCTTTACAAAACGTACTATTAAAGCAAGTCCCAAAGCTTCCAGAAATACTGTTGTTTCTCACCTGTTTTCTTTTTCTGTGTATAGGTGAACTTGGCCGCCCTGGACCTCCAGGTTCTCCAGGGGAAAAAGGACAACCTGGACAAGACGGCATTCCTGGGCCAGCAGGACAGAAGGGTGAACCAGGTGAGCAAATACCTTCCTTCACTTCTGTGCTCCACTTTTTCCAGATACGAGATGCTCAGCTTGTTACATAGTATAGAAATCTGACACAGCAACAACCCAAAAAAACATAAAGAAACAAACAGAAAAACCAACAGATTAAGAAACTTACATATAATACAATGTGTATGATAACTTGAGATGACAATTTTATCTTAAATGAATTAAACGGACTTTTTTGTGGCAAGTGATTCACTTAGCACCTCTGCTAATATAGATGAGTATACGTAAAGCCATGCAACATGGATAGCAGTGTAGAATTGCTACTGTAGTATATACTGTGTATGTACTCGAGTATAACCCTAGTTTTTCAGCCATTTTTTTAGGCTGAAAAAGCCCCCCTCGGCTTATACTCCAGTGAGGGTCCTGGTGGGAAGGTGTGAGGGTGAAAGGAGGGCTTCTTTCAGCCCCACACCGTCTTGCCAGGACCCCCATCTCTCCGCACAGCAACAAAGCTCTCCTTCCTCTCCTTGAGTCAATGAATTTTCCCAGGTTTTTGGTGGTAAATTTAGGTGCCCCAGCTTATATTCAGGTAGGCTTATACTCTAGTATGTACGGTAATGATTCAGTTAACTTATCTATGATTATTGTGTTTTTTTCCAGGTCAACCAGGATTTGGTCGCCCCGGACCTCCAGGACTCCCAGGACTATCAGGCAAAGTTTATTTGTCTTTATTCACGGAAGAGAGAATTCCTAGACTAGTAGTAGAGATCATACTTTGTATTCATGAAGTTCCAGCTTCAATCACAGTTTTCTCTAGTTTCTCTTAGGACCCAGATGAGCCACTGAGAATCCAAGTTGATAACAATAGACTAGCTGGACAAAGAGATTGACTTGAAGTAAAGTTTATGCAATGTTTGGTCAGGGAGTATCTTACATTTAATCACTGAAGGCACATTGGAATAACCAGGTTTTCAGGTTCCTCCTGAAGATTGCCAGCGTGGGGGCTTGCCTAATGCCTCTGGAGAGTGAATTCCAGAGCTGGGGGGCCACCACAGAGAAGGCCCTCTCTCTTGTCCCCACAAGTCGCACTTGCGATGCAGGCGGGAGCGAGAGAAGGGCCTCTCTGGAAGATCGAAGAGGTTGTGTGGGTTTGTAGATAGAAATGCGATCACGCAGTTAGGCAGGTCCCAAACCCTTCAGGGCTTTGTAGGTCAAAACCTGCACCTTGAATTGTGCCCGGAAAATAAATGGCAGCCAGTGGAGCTCCTTAAACAGGATGATGCCATTTTTGGAATTGGCAGGTCAAGTATACCCAGAAACAGAGCTAACATTTGAGGCACTAAAATGTGTGTTGGCCAGTGAAATAGTTCTCAAAGTCTATACAGTTTTCAAGTCTTTCTCTCAGCCCAATTGTCTGTTGTTTCTTGCAAATGTACGAAGATTTCCAACTCAGTTAAACATGACTTTTTCCCCATTTCTTCTTCTCAAACAACAGGTCAAAAGGGTGACTCAGGGTTGTCTGGGCCCCCAGGTTCACCGGGCCCCATTGGTCTGAAGGGGGAGATGGGTCCCCAAGGGTTTCCTGGTCTGCAAGGTCCAACCGGCCCCCCAGGACTTCCAGGACCAGCTTCAGAAGGACCAAAGGGCAGCCCTGGACCGCCGGGCATCCCAGGGAGGCCAGGTAAGAGAGAGGAAAATAAGACCGCAGAACCTTTTGCTGACAGGTTATTGGTCTGTTGGATTGGACAACTTCCGATAAGTCCCATAGATACTAATGCTGGAAGGCATTAACTTGATGTCTTCTGGCTATCCAAAATTCATCATGAAACATTATCTCTGTTGAGAGAGAACAAGAAAGCTATGCCCATTCAATAACCTGACAGCAAAACTTTGCCAAACTTGAGATGTCCTCCGCATGTCGTCACGGCAATCATCCAGCCAAGCACCCAATCGACTTTAATAGCATCTGCCAAATGTGCCTGTACCATGACGCCACATGATAAACCAATCCATCTTGTGCACCAAACGTCATAATAATAATACCGCACTGCCCGCAGGACCCATTGAAATCAAACCCATGTTAGCAGCACAGCATGACCAGATTGTACCATGGTTCCCCTTCATCTTTGCGTCGCGTGTGTTCATCCTTGCTCCGTCATCTGCCACAGCTCCGATGGATCCAGTGCACCACGTCACCTTCATTCACCTTTCCATCCTTGTCATCTTTGCTTCTCCCTGTGTACTAATTCATGGAAGTGATGATTTCCATGATGGGTGAACACCACTGAGCTGCTATTGGGTTTCTACTGCAATCGGCACAAAGATTAGAACATTTAGTGGTAAAAACAGAACAGGTGGACTTCCCTTTGTCCTATTTGCTCTGTCTACAAGTCCTACATTAAGTAGCAACGTGGTGAGCAGAGTTATTGCTTGCACCTTTGCATATTTTGTGATCTTATTTCCATTGGCTTCTAGATTTACAAGCGTATGTGCTTTCTGTGACTTGTTTGCAGAGCATTGGCTATTCTTAATGGATCAATTGTTGGACAAGCTGCACAAACATTTAGGTTTTAATGTTGGAAATTTAGCTGAGTTCATTTGTAACTGTTACATGTGAAAATATTTGGGCAAAATGTAGTGGAACGTGGTGGGGATCCTAAGATGTGGACCAGATTTTAGTGGGACTTCATTGTCCTTCCCTAGCAGAAATGTAATGGTCCACAGGATAAGCATTAATGTATACTTTGATTTCTGGGGTTTTGTCGCCAAAATTTGATCTTATGGCATTAGCACAAAAGCTTGCCTTAAAACAAGGCATGTGGGAGTGTGTCTGTCTCTTTTTCCTCCAGGTTGGTAAGCATTTATGGAAACTTTCCAGCAATACAAATCAACTTGGAAACAAGGTCAGGCCTTGTTTTAAAGCAAATTCAAGATTTTGTTTTAATTGAATGTGTCGTATTAGCACATGGGAGCATATGCCTACTTTCAAGTTGTGTAGAGCTCCCAGAAAAACCATGCCGTATCACTAATTAACTTGGAAACAAGATGCATGCTCTTGTGTAACCTTGTTTTAAAGCCAAATGGAAGATACTGTATATACTCTAGTATAAGCCAAGACACCTAATTTTACAACAAAAAACTAGGGAAAAGTATTGTAATAATAAAGAGAATAAAATAATAAATGTATTGTCGAAGGCTTTCATGGCTGGAATCACTGGGTTGTTGTAGGTTTTTTTGGGCTATATGGCCATGGTCTAGAGGCATTTTCTTCTGATGTTTCGCCTGCATCTATGGCAAGCAACCTCACTATCTCTGAGGATACTTGCCATAGATGCAGGCGAAACGTCAGGAGAAAATGCCTCTAGACCATGGCCATATAGCCCGAAAAAACCTACAACAACCCAAATAATAAATGTAATAATAGAGTAAAATAATTTAAATGTAATAATAACAGTACTAATAAGAGTAAAATAATAAATGTAATAATAATAGAGTAAAATAATAAATGTAATAATAGAGTAAAATAATAAATGTAATAATAATAAATAGAGTAAAATAATAAATGTAATACTAACAATAATAGAGAAAAATAATAATGTAATAGCAATAATAGAGTAAAATAATAAATGTTATAATAGTAATAAATAAAAGCCACCTTACTTGGATCTGCATGCATCATTTGAAAATACATCACACAGTTCTAGACACTTGGGAAGTGTTTGACTTGTGATTTTGTGATACGAAATCCAGCATATAGATCTCATTGGATGTGTCATACTGTGTTTTTGTGTCATAACAACAACAACAACTTTAGTTTTGTACCCTGCATCCATCTCCCCAAAGGCCTTGGGGTGGCTTACATGAGAACAAGCCCAATCAACATAGTTAAAATACGACACATTAAAATTCATAAAACAACGTCATAAAACAAATAAACAACAGCATAACACAATATAAAAACAACCATTGAATAACAACCAGTAACCTGAAATAGCAAAACAATAATAGAGTAAAATAATAAATGTAATAAAAAATAATAATAGAGTAAAATAATGTAAATATAATAATAATAATAATAATAATAATAATAATAATAATAGAGTAAAATTATTAATGTAATAATAATAATAATAATAATAATAATAATAATAATAATAATACAGAGTAAAATAAATAACCTTGACTCAAGTATAAGCCGAGTGGGGCTTTTTCAGCCTAAAAAAAAGGTCTAAGAACTCAGCTTATACTCCAGGATATATGGTATATATTTTTAAAAGACCTAATGCCATATCATGATCATTCAGCAGAAGGGGACACAAGCAGCCAGGATCCACATCTTACTCATTCGTGCTTGGATAAACGCCATGAGAAGGCACCAGTAACTGCTCAGTGGTTTCGTTCTTGTCTTCCTTGTTTGTATCGCATGCATATTGTACCATTCAGAGCATTTGTGTCGCTCAATTGCATGTCCAACATGGATAGACCAAGCTGTTGTTGTTTGACAAATGGGTCTGTATTTGAGTCCAACTAAATGAGCTAATGATGAAACCCCATCACATAACATGAGAATGAAATTGGCAGCCAAAGCAGGCATTTCTTTAATCAGCTACTTTAAAGGAACAGTTGAGCATTTTGATGAAGTTCATTGATCATGGAATAATTTGGTTTTCTTCTTAAGAGCCTATTTTTGTTTTGAGAAATCCTTAATAACCATTCCATACCAGACATTTGGACTGTCTTCATTTGATCATTTTAGACCAATTGGTATTGCACTGTGATGATGGGTTGTAATAGCTTGGTCTATACATGTATTAAGAGAGCCAATTTAGATGGATCGCCATGAAAATGTTTAGTTTATTGACATATCTAACCGTATTGATGTTTCCCCTTTCTAATGATGGCCTTGGTGAACTGTTGGTCCCCTACTTCCAGGTGCCACAGGTTAGCTCATTAACTCTAGAGTCATAACTTTGCATGGACTTGGATGTACTACTTTGATGGAGAAAAGAAATGCCTTGTTTTCTAAGACTGTGTATGCCAAGTCATTCATCATACATAGATGTAGTGGATCACTAGTGACCGAAAATGTTCAATATAACCAAATGCATTACATGATGGGGCGTTCATTAAAGATTTCCCCTGACCACTTCTATTTATCCCAGGATGCTGAAACTTCACATGCGTAATGATATAAGTCTCTATAGGTTACGTGCCAATTTACGACTCAGAGCTGAATGGTCTTGATTTTACAGGTGCTGAAGTGGTGTGAGGTTTGATAATGGGCCCAGTGGAATACAGAGCAATCCTCAAGTTCCTTTACTCAAAAGGCCGTCCACCAAAGGAGACCTTTGATGGGATGAAAGAGGTTTATGGTAATGATTCCCCATCATATGATAGAGTCAAGAACTGGCATTGTCAGTTCCAATGTGGTTGGACTTGGATGCAAGCCGCTCCAATTCTAGGGTGACCCCACTCTGCTAATGATGGATACACCACCCAGCAAGTGGAGATCGCCATTTTGGAAAATCACTTGACCCCCCCCCAGCTGCTCACACCTTTCCAGGGCAGGAACGAGTTGAATTCTCTCAGGCTCTCCTGACAATGATGTGCCATGGAAACCAGGAGGACTTTTTCAACAGACTGATCACACAGAATGAAAGTTGGGTCCATCACTCTGATCCTGAGACAAAAGTCCAGTCGATGCAATGGAAGCATCATGACTCACCACCTCCAAAGAAGGCACGTGCCCAACTTTTGGAACACAAGGTCATGAAAGTTGGGTCATGAAAGGTCATGAAAGTATTTTGGGACCAGCATGGAATAGGATTGATGGATTTCCTAGCAAAGGGGACCATGATCACTGGGGCATACAATGCTTCACTGCAGCAGAAATTGCTGGAGGTCATCAAAATCAAGAGACAATGTGGCATGCTCACCAAAGGGGCCCACCTTCTGCAAGACAATGCACTAGTTCACAACTCACCTGTTTCCCAAATGAAAGCATGCTCCTGTGGCTTTGAAATTCTACCACATCCCCCTTATTCACCCAACCTCGCTCCATTGGATTTCCACCTCTTTCCAACGATGAAGTTATTTTTGATGGACAAGCATTTTTCAGATGATGAGACTTTGATTCCGACGTCACAACGTGGCTTTTGGAGCAACCTGGCAACTTCTACAAGTGGGATGTTTACAGTTGCTTAAAAAGATGGGAGAAGTTTGTGTCCTGAGGTGGCACCTATGGAGAGAAGGACTCATAACTGGGCCAAGTTTCACTGCTCTCAGTCCACAGGAAGTGGGTCAGAGGAAATCTTTAATGAACGCTCCTCATATGGCAGTGTAGATCGGACCTTACTTGGGAGTGAGTCTTCTCAAGTGCATTAGAGCTTAGAGTTGACCTGCAGAGGATTACACTGTAAGAAGGGTTTTCGTTCACACTTCAAAGTGTTTGTTCCAATTTAGTGATCATTCTTTTTTATCTACTAATGTAATGTTACTTAAGCTAATTGTAAGATTCTTCATACTTTTCCAGAGAATAGGAGTGACTTGGCATACGCATCTGTGTTGTGTGGATTGAAACAAAGATTTGAAAGTTTGCTATGATGGCTTTTAAGGGCAAAATGACTTTACAACTTCAGGGAAAGAGGAATATGTTAAAATTAAGACATTGCATCAATGCAT